TGGGCACCTTGTCAATTGGAAATGTAGGAATCAAACAAGCAGTTGCACTTATGTCATTGCAAGATCTCTACCTGTTATCTGACTAGTGAGTCAAACGAAACAATGTCTTCCATAGGGAAATAAATAACTAAGATTTGTTTGTTTGTTTGCTTGTTTGTTCTTTTGGTCTTTTTTTGTTTGAAGTCTAAGAGTTGTTCTGCAAAATTTATAGCTTGTAAAGTATGATAGCATCGAAAAGGGATACAAGATTTTATTATTATTATTATTATTATTATTATTATTATTATTGTATTACTTGTGTACTATGCAAAAGTGTTGAATGATGAATGATGATGGATGGACGGACGGAGGATAATTTAGAAAATAAAATGGCTGTTTGCTTGGTTGGAAAGGTGTAAGGAAGAAACGACAGTGAGAATTGATAAGTGAAAGGAGGGATAGTAGTTGAGTGTATGGTTGCGGGTTTGATAGCCGTTTGTACGGGGAAAAGGTAGACTATATAAATAGGAGGAGGAAAAGAGGTTATCATAGGAGAAGATAAGGAAAAAAATGGAAGGAGTGAGGAAAGGATGAGGCAATAAAGGGAGGAAGAAGTGAGGGAGGGGGAAGGAAGGAAGGAAGAAAAGAATAACTGTTTGCTTCAGGGAATAAACGGTGGCTAAGGATGGCTAGGTTACCACTATCAATGACAAGATATGCTTTTTCCACCTTTATTTTGCAGTGGCGAATACATAAAAATAATCCATGGGAGCGGTACAACTGTGCTTACTAGCTATGGATATTCAATGACTCCTACAAAAGCTTTCGCGGAAGTTTCTTTTGGAAACCATGAAAATATCACCGTTCAAATCTATCTATATTCTAGTTACAGCAATGCCAGGCTTCAATTCGGAATTTTACCGCAGGGATTGCAATCGGGTTAGTTTCATCCTCATATAATTTATGTAACTTTAATATTGCGAGCTTTTGTATTTCGTATCTGAAACAACTACCTGACATAACAGTGTCAACCAAAAAACGTACAAATCTTGGCGGCTTACAACGCTTTTTGTCGGTCATTCCACTGAAACCACTGGAGAATATTAACTAACGAATCTTTTTCCTTGCTCATGTCTATTCCTGTAAAAATTCATTCTAATCCTAAATCTATTTTTTCCAATGGTTACCATGCCAGTTTTCCAGATTTATCCTCATTTATAAATATTTTCTTAACTGACATCAGCGTCAATAGTAATTGTGAAAAAGAAAAGACAAAAAAACAAACGAAAAAAAAAAAACACAATTGTGGGTCCACATGCTATTAGTAACACCACTGCAGAGACAGCTTAGACTTTGTAACCACTCTAAAGAGCACCCCACTTGATTTGTTGGTATCAATATATCAATTCTAAACTCGGCTGACATATTTTAAATATATTGTATGGTTTACACAAAGTTTGATTAAAACGGGTACGTGGTTTTAGAGGAGATGCAGTAAGCCATTCTTTCTCAAACGGAGCCTTTCGTATGATTGTGAAATTTAGTGTTCTCGAGCTCCATCATCGCTGTATAGTAATCTCTTTTATTATGATCGTCAATTGTAAACTTTCTTTCTTCCTTTTTAACTCACCTAGTGTCCAGTTGGAACTTCTCTATTGATAACAAAACAGCAACCAGTATGCGAGTTTCTTGGAAAAATCTATCAGCATTGCTGAGCCTAAGCGTTCTTCGCTATATAACTGTCATAAAAAGTAGCAATGGGAGCATCGTGAATGGAAATATCCTGCAAGGGAACACCACCTCTGATGTTTTCTATGGGCTGTCACCATATATCGAATACAAACTCAATGTTCTTGGTGTAAATGATAACGGAAAAGTTTACAAGAGTTCAGAGGCCACAGAGTGGACTGAGGAATCGGGTATATTCATAACCTTACCGTCGCAAATAGATTATTGTTATAGCCATGGCTGTCAAAGCCAGTTTCTAACCCATTTACAGAAGGCCTTTCACGAGTTGGCTTAAGCTTTTGTTTCAAAGCGAGCCTCAGTGCGAAGCCATTGTTATAAAGCGATTTTTTATTTCATTTGAAATAAAACTCCTTTTCGCAGCAAAGATTTTGCACTAAGCCTGGTTTTGATAGTGAGAGTTTTCGGAACTCTGAAATGGCCTGTTAATCTTCGGCATCAATCTCTTGTGGGAAATGTTAATTTAGTTCTTTTAAATTGCATATCACCTCAAAATTGATAAAATTTGAAGGAATTCTACGAGCTTTCAGCTTTAAAACGAGGCAAAATTTGCGCAAATCGGATAAAACTAGCGAACTCTATGCTCGGTTAAAGAGTACGAAATTGTCTATTTGAGCAGCTTTTAGCCAGAAGGCCGAGTAGACAGTCCTCTGGGTCGAGTTAAACGATGACGTATTTTGAGGCAATATTCTTCGCTTTGTTGTTGACTCCTATTGTGCAGCTCTCTCTCTCTTTCTTCCTGTTGTACTATTGGAAAAACTATTGCCTGGCCCAAAGGCTCGTCCGCGTGAGGAATTGCAACATCGTCATATTCAAGCTTCTCCGCTCGCTCACGAAGTTGGGTCATAATTCATATTTTTTAACTTTTTCTTGTAAGTTTTGCCGGATATTCGGTAGAAACCCGGGAATAAAATTCCATCCTGAGTCGTCAGAATCGACACATGACATGCTTTCCTAGTGAGACATCTTATTTCGAAGTGAAGATGGTGGTCCAACTAAGACTAGGCAACGACTAGAGCAACGAGAACGGCAAAGAAAAAAATAATAGGTTTTGATTATTTAAACAACAGTTTTGCACGTGCTGCCACGCTTGCTTGTACATTTCTTTGCCGTCGTTGAATGACCACGACGTGAAACTTACTAATTTCACGTCGGTGGAGAACGTCCACATACAAACAATTCCTAATTCTTTTTTAAAACCTAGATACAGTCCTTCGGAAAATAACTTTACAAAACTTCACCAACATTTGACAAATTGAACGAAATGTGACATGGGAAAAGAGCGATAAATATTTAAACAACGAGATTCACTTTTTAAGGGACCCAATCCCACAATACGTGGAAGTCTGACATGCCTATTGGGCATCAGTTTAAGGAGAACAATGCCTCAAAATAAGTCACTCGCCCCAGGTCCAAAATATCACGGCCTAAGATATTAATTCTACATATTTAAAAGTCTGTTAAAAATTCAGATTTATCTAAAATCAAAATCTGTGGCTTCGTTTATTACAATTTATTATTATTATTTTTATTGTATTTCAAAACAAACCTTTAACTCTGTCGGTGCGGATGTCGAGTATTCTCGGCACGCGGATGTCGAGTATTCTCGGCATTGTAAACAATCCCAGAGTACTTTTCAGAAATGCAGTCTATATTAGGATATATTCAATGGAATTGCCGGCATACCTGTAGATGCAGTTAGCGTGACTAGTTCTGACATTTATTGATAGTCAAGGAACGGCTGAGGACAAATGTTTGTAGGAGAATCGTATTTCAGTCCGAGGAAAGATGAAACGTGACATCGACGCCATGTTGATTTTCTGCTGCGTCATCATGTCAAGGTTTTCTTTAGATTTCGCTGTTCATTTTAACAAGTACAGTCGTAAAGAAAGGCGTTGGAAGAAGTCACATTTAGAAAATTGCGATTCAAGGCAAAGGTAAGCATTTGTTTTATCTTTATCTTTTTATTATCATCATCATCATCATCATCATCATTATTATTATTATTTTTATTATTATTATCTTTTTATTATGATTATTGTTTAGTCATTGAGTTCTCATGACCATGGTTATGAATCTATGAATGTGGAAACTGACGACGCCATGACAGCGTCTCCTGCTCGTGCTCCCCCAAGGCAAAGACAACTTGTTTAAGAAGACGCGACTTTCTATGACGATTTACATCAAAGCTGGATTCCCCGTTTCGTAAAAGAACCGGAGTTAAGGTGGAAACTGCTGATTTCGGGCCTGTAGATGATTTCAGGCTCTTCTTTGCTGACAATCTCTTTACTCTTTTTAATATTTGTGAGCAAACAAACCTATTTGCTGAACAGTTCTTTGACAATCCAGTAAATTGTAGTGAACATATTGAGCTCGTATTAATAATTTTCATTTATTTTCTTTTTTTTTCAGACAGTGGTGCCAATGAAGTGTAACCCTTTAAAAAGGGCTTTTTGTTTTTGTTATGACAACCAAGGCTGACATGTGACAAATCATAAGACTAATTAGGTCAAGCATCGCATGTGATGATGCCTTATTAGGGACCTTAAGCAAGGTCGACAAGAAGCCCTGAGGACGACGACCGGAAGTGAAAATACCGCTTACCGTGCTACTGCGCATGCTTCACTCGTCGTCCACGTGAAGTTCAGAACGTGAAAACGCCATCTTTGCCGTCCAGGCCGAACGTCGCGAGAACGTGAGTATAAATTTATGTATTTTCATCTTGTTTAAGAAAAGAATTTATGTTTGGCTTTTGAAATGAAGGCTAGATATTCCTTAGTATCTAATCTTTGCACAATATTGAATCTTACTACGATTTTGAAAATGAAAACTTTGCAAACAGTCAAAAATTCGGGCTTTGTGGGATTTGCATCTTGTCAGCAAAACATTCAAGTTAAGAAAATGAAATCGAAAACTAACAAAGTGATTACTTGTTTTGTTTTATTTACCAATATGCAGTCGTTTACAATTGTTTTAACTTGGGCAGTAAATCTTCATGCCGTTAAGGTCATTTTAGTGTCTAATTTTCCGAAAAATTAACTTATTTTGATATGAATTTCCTTAGAATGGAATGGACAGAACTGCATGACTTGAATCTTTCCGAAGAAGTTTTAGTTGTGGAACCTTGGAAACATCCTTACCGTAGTAAGGAAAGAGGAGATTCATGGAACGAAATAGCAAACGATTTAAATACCTCTGATCATCCTACGTTTAAAGTATCAAAAAGAAGTGTCAGAGACAGGTTGACCTTACTTTAACAAAAGTACAAAGCGAAAATGAGAATGGAGAAAGCTGTCTCTGGGATAGACTGTCAGGAAACAAAGCTAGACAAAGCGTTAGAAGAAATCATAGAAAAAGAGAAAGCGGCCACGGATGCGAGAAGCCTGCAAGATGATAACAAGAAAACTGAAAAGGCAGCAGCGGCCGAGGAGTACCGCAACCAAGCGGTTGAGCGTTTGGGTAAAACCAGGAAAAGGAATGCTGAGAAGCAAGACGAAAAAGCCCAGACGGCGAAGAAAGGAAGACGATCGACGTCGGAAGTGGTTCAATTTCTGAAAGAAAAGTCAGAAAGAGAGAGTGTGCTGAGAAAGGAGGATTTGGAGTTTAGACGAAAGGAGACGAGTCAAAAGGAGGATGTGATGAAAATGCTAGCACAACAACAGCAGCAGCAGACTCAGCTTATGCTTTGTTTGCTTGCAAAGGGCCAAAATAAGAACAGTTAAGTATCCGCTATTTTATCCATCAAAGTGTTCGTTTTTCCAATGTTGTTGTTACTGGAAGTTTTACGGTGAAAAAGTACTAAGGTAGCATGTATATTTTCCAGACATGCAATAATACTCTGTTTGTATTTGAAGGTACATTGTGAGACTGCAAAGTTCTAGTTGATTAGTGTTGTTGCAAAACCTTAAATTGATTAAATTCAAGATTCATGTTTCAATGTTTTAAGCGTATTTTATGTGCATTTCTGTACATCTTGTCTGACTAGCTAAAATCTTCAGTGTTGTATTTGAAGCTACAACATTTTATAGTGATTAAATCTAAGCTTTGTGTTTCAAAGTTTCAAGTTTATTTTATCGTTATACAGTGTATGCCCATCTTGCCTGACTGGGTACAAAATGAAGCCTCCTGTAGCGGTTGGAATTGAGAGGTTATCTGTCAAAGGTGGGAGGGTCAGAAAATATGAAAAAATGTATCAGAAAGGGGTGGGGCAACATTTTTCCTCTTCCCCTCCCCTTCCTCTGGTAAATAATTAACTCCTAGTTTTGTGGTGTGATCGGAACATTCTCCAGCAGGCTCCTGTCACCATTTAATACATCCCAGATGTTGTGCCTCTTGGCTGGAACTCAAGTTTAAACAAAACAATCTTATAAAGCAGTTTGTCATTTATTAATACACTCCTGTATCAAATTAATCTGCCTTCTCTTGATACACCCTGAAAGAAAAAAGTAGTCAAGGACACTTAAGAATTTGTCCATGCTTAGCGTGCGTATATCGAGTTATGGATGCACCCGGGAAGTTTGGAGAGCACGAAAGATGCATAAGAGTTGCACGAGGCGATAGCCGAGTGCAACTCTAGCTTCTTGAGTGCCCTTCAAACTTCCCAAGTGCATCCATAACTCGATATACGCACAGCTAAAAGCATGAGCAAATTCTTTTATAATATAGCTGACAAAAATGCTTGCTTTTTGATGAACTGCAAAATTCTCGTAACGCGCTACACAATAACAAAGGGTTCTATTGGCTGATTACGAACACGCCACAATCGTCTAGTTTGAATGAAAATATTCTTTCTGTAAAACTAAGAAAGAAAATTTGCGTCTTTATTCGTTAACGATCAATGGAAACTAAGCAGAAACAAAGGCAAAGGAGTCTTAAAGTTCACCTAAAGTTAAAAAACTAACGTGTTCGTAAGAAGTCGTGGAGTATGGTTTGGATTTGCTGAAAAGATGTTTACCTTTTGCTCGGCGAAATCCGGAAAACATGTTTTTAGGGAAGACGACTGTCATCCTTCTTTAAACTCATATTCATTTACGAACATTGGCTGGTCATTACGGCTTCTTGAGAAGACCTGGCAGCAGTTGTTTTTGTGAGTAATAAATTTATGTCTTCTTGTGTAATTTGCGTTGTTATTGCGAGAGAAATTTTCCTGCTTCAGTCGGTTTGTCCGGAGATAACAAAAGTGCATAAAAAATTTAAAAACAACAATAAAAGCGGAAATTTTACTTTTAAATGTTGTTGATGACCAGTTGGTGTCTGTTCTGTTCCCAGTGAATGTCTTTCGGCCAAAATTTGCTGCAGCTGGTCTTCCGTCAAATTTGCGAAACGCGCAACTTGCAAGTTTTTTTTAATTGGACTTTATTTTTGCTGCTTGCTGGATCAGGACCTGAAAGGTCAATGCCGATAGAAAAATTGGGCAGTTCTTCGCTGGTTTCTTCCATATTTTAAAGAGAAGGAAAACTGCACTGCTAAGCTAAGCTTAGCGTTCTAACTCCTCTGAATCTACCAAGGACCTTTTTGAGGGGATTGGTAACCCTGGAAAGGAGTGAAGACCTTTTTCTGGGTGTGATTGCAGCCCTAAAGAGTATGCATGTTGTTGCATAAAGTTTGTTCCCAACACCTTGCCTTACGCCATGTACTGTTGTCATTGTTTCAATAATTGGGTTGAAACCATAAATAATACAGTTACTTTTAGTAGCTTACAAACAACAACCATGAGCATGTGTATTCTGATTTATCGATAAGGATGTTTAAAATTTTCTCAATATGGATTAGGTTCTCACATCTCAGTATCTGGCCTTGACTTGATAGATACACCAGTTGCATCCAGTTTGTGTAATTAGTCAATTAATTGTGCTTAATTTACAGACTGATCCTTTGTTTTGTTCTTTGTTATTGCATATCTCCTTATCTGCTGTGGAGGAAGTCCTAGGCTCCTGACCAACTGGTTGCTGTTCCTGGTTAAGTCCTCAGCTGATACCTAACCGACGGGACATTTGCCCAGTCTAATTTTACACGCAATGTTTATCATCTCTCACTATCCTGGGGGATTATCACCCCCTAGAGAGGATTATTACCTCCCACTAACCCGGGGGATTATCATACCCGTAGAGAGGATTATCACCTCTCACAATCCTGGGGGATTATCCCCCCCCCAGAGAGGATTATCACCTCTCCCCTTGTAGATTTCGGACTGTTACACCAATATGTATTCATCCCTTAACTCTTTTCCCCACAATAGTTCTTGTCTAGTTACTTGCTTTCATCCAAGGGGCTATGTGTTAAGAGCATTAAGATTAAAATTTATACAACAGGATAAATTAAAGTTAATGTGATAACATAATCCTTGAATACAGCAACATAGCTTTTCTGTCGGCCAGTTTCTCATGACCAAATTTTATTTGCTTTCTTGTATTTTTGGGATCGCTTTTTACAAGCCTATTTTATTCATATTGTTCGTCTATGGGGAATACATGTACACTTCGTGTATTTGTGGGGATGAAGTGTTCCATACAGGTCGCCCCTTTGCCCCATAGACTCACATGATCAGCTATTGTGGCAGAATGGGCCCCCCAGACAGCCTTGTTACCGTGGTGACAAGGAGCTAACCTTTCTTGTTGTGGTTGTCCCAAGGGGGCCTAGGAATTAGGATCCCAGAGAGAGGATTAGGACCTCTCTGTAGCCTGGGGACTTGATGGACTCATGGAAAGGAGGGAGAGGATTACCACCTCTCAGGGCCTGGGGATCAGGACCCTAGATAGAGGAATCCCTCCTCTGTAGCTAACTCAACAGCTCGCTTAGCTTTTGTCGGCAGGGAGTTCTTCACTTGCTCCAGCCTCTCACTTAGACAGTCATCTTTTTGTTTTCGTGTGCTCAGTTACAGTGTTTGAATTTCTGAGGCATCTGGAGGATGGTACTCTTGCTCAACAATTCGCCTCACGAGCGGATTAGTAACTTTGATTGAAGACTCGTATTCAGAAGATGAGGTCACTACAGGATCTGTAAATCCAAAGCGTGCCATACTCACAGGGAGACCAAGGAGGTCACGTTCTACTTTAGTGACTGTATGGTCAGTGACAGCTGGTATGAGAACCTCATTAATCGCGCGCTCGAGTGGCTCAAGTAATTCTGCAATATCCGGTAATGTTCTTAGGAAATATGTCCAACGGTGCCGCAGACCAAAAGTGAAGGCTGCGTAGCTTGCTTGAGGCTGTGATATGGCGAAATCTGCGAGTTTAGTAACTTCATTGACCCATTCGTCTACTCTCTCGCCATCATATTCTTCAAGAACGATCTAGATCCTAGAGCCGCGCCTAAGTGCTTGTGGCCCTCTGTGGTGACGTTAATAGCAGTGTCTCTAAACACCTCCCTGGCAGCCTGTTCTCGTTCAGGTTTGCTGATCAACCAACATTTCTTGGCATTAGGGAGGTAACCCAGCGGAGGGCCACTCTCTAATAGTTCATCCCGCTATTTCCTCACGTCTTTCAGGAACCACTTCCGGTTGCGCCATCAGCAAACCAACACTGTTTTGCTGCGCTTGAAACGTGCAGTCGCGTTATAAGTGATTGAAGACTTATGGCGTACAGGGTAATGGACAGAGGGTCACTCTGTGTGGTGCCCTCTGCTGATATTATTTCCTCACCGCCTGTAATGAAGAGCCGCGCCGGTTGTCTATAGGTGTTTATCACGTAAGTAGCCAGGGTCGGACTCAGCACTCGGATAAAATGTAGTGCTGCAGCTCTGTTCAAGGCGTTAAAGGCGTTTGATACATCGATTAGCAGAACAACATCCGTTTCATTCGCATCGAAGATGCTGCGCACTGCATGAATTGCAGCTTCACTTCCGCTTTTGTGCCCTGCACAAACTTGAAGGGAACCACTTGCGTCAATGACGTCAGGCTTTGTCACGAGCATAACACACTTTCCCATTATCCTCCGTATAACTTTTCCGACACCGATAGGCCGGACAGCGTCCTCTTCTTTGTCCAGGGGGAAGAGTCGATTAGCTAAAATTGCCTCAATACCAAGGGGATCGATAAATTCAGTGCACAAGCGTGGGGGCATTGCGGCTATTGCTGTGCACAGGTCTGTTCCAGATTTCTTGAATGACTTTGATTCAAGAATTTGCCGGAACCCATTCGCATCGACGCCCGAGGGAACCCCAGAACCTTTTGTTCGCAGAGCAAAGTACCTTTATAAGCGTGATAGTAATATTTCAAAACGTACATGTATACTTATACATAATTACTTGAAAGAGAAGACTCGCCAAAAAAAGAAAGTGTTCTAATTAGCAATATTGGTTGTCCCGGCTTAAATTTAACGTATTTATGCCTTTTGACGGATGCTTGAATTAATAAAACACACGATTGTACTTGTTTAAAGCCCAGGGGGGGTACTCCCTTACAAGAGGCTAATGGGGATGTGCCGCTGAGTGGGGTCACATTTTCACGAGTGGAGTGACTATAATGGGGTCGCATTTGCAATAGAGTTACTAGAATGGGGTCGCAAATTGTCGGATTTTGGGGGTAAGTAGGGATTCAAAGTGGGACGATTCTCGGTTAAAAAGATCAGAAAGTTGTTGTTTATTAAGTTTAACAATAAGCTGGCGTTGACCGCATTACATTCCGTTCTTGAAACCACATCTTAAATATTAACCAGTTACTCAATAGCACAAAACCACGGGCCTAAAAGAAAGTCCACCGAAACATCAATACTACGGTATTTACTTTCCTACTGGATTGTTATCGTCCGTCGAAGATAATTTATGGATGACCTTTTTAAAGGATTGACAAGGTGGATGAATAAATAGAAAGTGACTAAGTTGGGGTCTATAATTGGCCACAAAATAGACTAAGATGGGGTAGGGGAGGCCAGCGGCACATACACAGCAAACATTAACCCAAGTACCCCCCAGCGCCACCACCACTGGGGTTTAAGGTCCGTTTTAGTTGGGCTCGGTCGTCGAGGTCTTGCCGACGTCGCTCAAAAAAGCCGACTTTTGGGCGATTCTGCAGTAGTTATTATATCCAAATTAAACAATATGACTCTTCTGAATAAGATAAGTGTATTGAAAGATGTATTATTAAAAACTGAATCATTGGATAATGCAATTCTAGCATTTTGATTGGCTTACCCGTTATGGTATATGAGCTATTATACCATGCTCTCCATATATGGTCGGTGTACGCGTCAATTTAAAGTTGGAAGCTAGCTGAGATTTTTTTTCGCCAAGGATAGAACGGCGCCGAAGCAAATCGTTTTAATTCATTTCTTAGAATACTAGAAATGCAATTTCATCGAAAGAAAAAAGACAAAAACAAACAAAAAAGCCACAAGAGCTTGTTTGAAAGTTTGTCGAAAAACACACATGAAAACACATGGAACTAAAGTACCTTGACCAGCTACGAAAGAAGACAAGTGTTGTTTCTTCATGATCGCGAAGCCATTCGCCGATCGAGTCAATCGCCGATATATAACTGCGGCTTGTTTATCCGATATCAAGAATATAAATCACAAGTAACCGCTACAAATACAGGCTATGCAGCCATTCACTAGAGCAATCAAGGCGGTAGTATAGCTTCTTTTCTCGTTCAGCAAAACCAGCTTGTAGCTTCAAACAACTTCATAACAAGCGAAAGAGGTAATAGTTTTTCTCCGTTGTTCTTGCTTTTATAACTGCACCGAAAATCCAAATTCACAGTAATTTCGACGGCTGTCACTTAAAAATTGTGACCCTCCACAGGAATTTGATGCTAAAGGTGAAAGCACGCGCACGACACGCTTGCACGACACGCTTAACGTGCCGTAGATCACGGATATGCGCATATTAAATTGAAAACACAAAGACGGACACACTTGCCTTCGTTTTGCCAAATTTAACACGCTAGACCTTTTGTTTTTTTGTAGCGTGCCATATGTCACGGTAAGTGTGCGAATTATAGCACGGTTAGCGTGCAATTAGGGTAAGACACGCTGAACACGCTTGATTACTAAAACCGCTAAGATGATAAAAATGGCTTGGGTTTTCAGCGGATTTAATCAGCATTGATAACTGGTCGAAGTGAATCAAATATACCAATTGAGACTGTTTTGGAATTTGATAGTAACCGTGGCCATTTGAAAATCACGACTTAATGGTGGTCTAGCCTGGAATTAACGCGAGATCAGTGTCAACCAATTCCTCCGGCTGTCGGCTGTTGACCGGAATCGCAAAGAGGCCTGCTATCGCATGCGAGGCACTGAAGTTATGTCGCCTGAAAATTATAGTTATGCCACCGGAATATTTATTAGCAGTAATGCACAGAGAAATGAAGTTGAATAAATTAGTTTAATATATTTCTTTAAGCCATGCTGAGACGAACGAAGGTAATTAAATCGGAGAAACAAAAACTGCCTAGAATTTTCTATAGGTTGAGGAAGGCTAAACATTTCTAGATGACCGTTCCATGCATGTACAATTTTCGAAGGTTATCTAATAAATTCCTTACGATTTTCTAAGTTTATTTTTTTCCATTTCATTCCCCAGTTAAGCTATTTTTCGTAGAGAATTAAGGAATCCTAAAATTTTCAGAACCGAAAATACGATAAAATTCTAACTTTCCTAAAACTTTCAATTGGAAGCTAAATTTTTCGGGAAAATAATGCTGAAGCCCTTGTAATTTCGAAGCGCTATCAATCATAATTTATGTGAAGATATCTCGTTACGCTATGCTAAGACGAATCAAGCGCTGTAAACGTGTACTATATCTCGTTCTTCACAGGACGAAAAAAGCAAGAATCTGTAAACTAAAAACACTGTAGAATGAGGGAGGATTGCGGGCGACTTTTCTTTGAATTTTGGGCGACAAAACTCATATTATCAGGTTTTGGACGACATAACTTCAAACGACGTCACTTTCGAGTAGCTTGACCGTCACCCCTTTAGATCGAGCTCGATGAATTAATTCAATGACCGAACTTTATGGAACAAATGATTGCCTTCAAGAATTTCACTCGGACTACTTTTAATTTAGTTCTTTTTCTCTTTTCTCAGTGTGTGACTGACAGAGATTTAATTCTCGGATCGAACTTTATTATCGTGGCAAAAACAAAGAATCAAACAAAAAAGCACCATACAATTTCGGAATTCTGTTAAAAAATACAGTTTTTACTTACTATTCAAAAAGCGTTGAAACAGTCATTAATTAACTGATGTTTCGCTTTTTGTGTTATTGTCGGGCGGATCAATTAAGCAACGTTGGAAACGTTTTGGAATTTTGGTACATCTAGAAAAGCAGGCTGGTTTTCAGTTGATCACTACGATCCTTGCAATCGCTCAAAAATAAATACAATTTAGTGATCCTGGCACTTAATGATTTCTGTTATATTTGATCGCGATTGCTGCGATCGGCAAGAAAGTGTCTTAAGTTTGAAAGATCACTGTTTCTGAGAAAATTGCAAATGTGTTTTAAATTAAGGAAAGTTAAGATAACCTTTGCACAGCTTCGTCAGTAAACATTTCTGGAAAGAACTTTGATTTTGCGATGCTAATATAGTTCTACCCATAAATCCAGTAGGTCACACCGTTCACTGTTTATACTTTTCAAGCTACAACGTTTTTTCAATCAGATACTATCGCTGCGATCGCTGAGGTATAACTTTTTCTTTCTCGATAGTTACCAAAAAAGGGTGCCGTTCATAATCATTTACGGTTCCTTTTTGTAGAGGAAATTTATTTAGCTTATAGATAACACGCCTTGCGTGCTTTTGCGCACACTGAAAGCGTGTTGTGCTTTTTCGCACGGAGCTTTTGTTTGAAAACTTTAACACTCTTTTGTTCGACTTGCTCACGCTTAATTGTCTCAAGCGTGTCCTCTGAAACAAAAGAAATTGCTAATGAGGCAAGATTGCAAGCGTGCTAAAGCGTGTTAAAATAAATTCTTTTGTTTTAAAGTGAAAGCGTGTCGTGCGCGTACTTTCACCTTTAGCATTAAAATCCTGTGGAGGGTCACAATTATTTTCCTTCACATTATCTGCCAGGTTTTTTTTAGCTGTTCTGCTGCGTAAAATCCTAGAATCCCGATGAGTTTTTAAAAAACTAATGTTCATCGCTACAATGTTTTGTTTTTTTATTCATGCAGTCCAGGCGAGTCCGTTCGCGCGTTGACAGTTTTGATAGACGTGTGACATGTGAATAGCGGTTTGTTCTAGTCTGGGAGATTCAACGAGATTTTGTAGGCGTTTTTAATAAAACAATCATTTCACTCGCGCTTGTTGAATATGAGACGATTATAGCCAACTCATATCATATCCAACGCGCCCTCGTGGAATAATTGTTAAATATAGATTGTATGCCGGAGATTGGCATGTGATCAACGTTGAATAGAATGTTTAAAGCGTATCTGTCGTTAACACCGCTGGCGTGAAGGGCCGTGCAACGTTATCTTTAATCACTGGGATCTCGCGATTTTTCCGGCAAAATTAGGGTTGAACTCGAGGTCTTGCGAGCTACTTAAAATCGTTTTTCCAGAGATTTGTTTTGATTTTCTGATAGATTGGGGCCTATTCAAGCCGTAGAGAGTCAATTTGCGAACTTTTTAGTTATAGCGCATTGTAAAAATTTGCATTATTTTATCCCTATAATTTTGAACGGTAGAAATTGTCAGTACGGCCTATTTTTAACAATACCTTTTTGGCCACGAAATTATTACAGCTTTCACAAATTTATCCTCTTATAAGAGAGAAAGTGTCATGTCACATTCCTTTTTTCCAAAGGCTGCCAAATCGTTGTGGTTTGACGTACGAGTCAATGAAATTTGTGTAAAATTTCGCTTACTGGAAATGGATTTTGAGTTCCGAACAGGCAAAATGAGTTTTCTCGAATTATAACAAAAGAACACGTTATTTGGGAACACTAACTAGAGAATGTTTCATTACTCCTTAAGGGTTATCAATGAGCTAATCGATGAGCTAAAAATGAGCGAAATCCGAATTTTGAACTTATGCCACAAAAAGTCGATTTTGGTCGATGTTTACAGACAGTCGCTCTTAATCATCATCATTATCATTATCACTATTATTATTATTATTATTATTATTATTATTATTATTATTATTTAATGCATTTTTAGGGTGCTAACGGTAGAAAACTTTTAATGAGAAGTTTAAAAATGCAAATGCCCTCCTGTGTAACAGCTTTACATGTTGTATTTCTCTCTAGTTCCTGGTCGTGCTCCTAGCGATATAACCTTCTCTGAAGTAACAGCAACGCAGTTCAAAGTTACTTGGAAAACTCTTCCTCAGAGGTTTCACAATGGCCGATTGTTGGGCTATAGAGTGTACTTCAGAAGGAGCGCCTATTATCTAAATCCATTTAATACAAGCGGTGTAGTCACCACCAGTCCTAATGTGACTTGGGTATTGATAACAGGGCTAGGACCGGTTCAGCGATATGATGTTTCTGTGGCGGCGTTTACATCCAAGGGCGAAGGGCCGCGACCTTCTCGTTACTATGTTACAACAGGTAACACTGGACGAAAAAATGGATTTACTAGGGTAGCCAAATTACAGTAAATGTGTAGCAAATACCACATTTGCACAATTTTGCGCAAGAGCAAAGACTGATATTGCACTAGATTTGCTATCCGTAGCAATGACGGTAAATGCCACATTTGCACAACATTTAAATCTTGGTGCAAAGATAATGGGCAGCCATGGATTTGAGGGTCATTTGCAGATGGTTCAAATGTGTAGGCAAATATGTTTCTTTGAACTATATTTGCACATTAGGCAAATGATAGTGCAAATCTGCTGTTTTGCACAGCTTTTGCTTTAGATGTAAAAGCATGTAAACCTGTTATTTTCAGAACGTTTACGCAGCTTTGCAAATGTGAGCGAAGTATCTAATTTGAACAATGTTTGCTTGGGTTATCATGGGTGATCAAATTTTCATAATTGAACCAGATTGCTTTGCATGGCAAATGTAACCAAACTCTTTGTATTAAACATGTTTGCTCACGAAGCAAATGTTAGCAAACCTAAACTTTGAGCAAATTTTCTAGGGTGTGCAAATTTGATCAAACACAAAATTTTGCTTGTAGCGGCAAATGTGGTCAAAAGTCAAGTTTTGAACAAAGTTGCTTGGGCAGCAAATCTGATCAAACTGTTAGTAGTGTGCAATTTTTCGCTCAGGTAGCAAAGGTAATCAAATTCTATCTTTAATTTGGTTGACAAATGTCATCAAACCCATAAAATTGAGCATGTTTTCTCCAGTAGCAAATGTAAATTCCAAGGTTTAAACGAGTTTGCTTGGGTTGTAGCAAATGCGATAAAATTTTAAAATATTTTTTAAATTATAATATGGCTCACTTCAGTTTCTTAACAAGTGGCCATAATTAATCAAACATTAAAGTTACTGAAAGAAATTCTAGCAGTGACCTCCCATTAATGTTCAAATGATTTATTCCATAAACCAAAGTGGCTTACACATTATTACAGACATTACAAACTACAGTATAAAGCTGTACATACAGCTCTTCATATTAATTCCCAATTTTACTGTTCGTTGATGTTTACTTGTCTCCACTCTATGCTCTATCAGATCATTACTAACTATTAATATTATAAGAAATGTGTTCTTCATCTAAATGTGTAAGATATTCTACATACAGCTGTAGGTGTTTCAGAGTTGCCTCAAACCTATTTCAGTTCTTTAGGTTTTTGCAACTCAGAAACAGGTTAAAAATCCTTTCACCCTTGGACCAATATTTACTTGTGACAAGACTATTTCTTACTTAAACTTTTGTATCAACTAAATGGAACCCTCAAGACACCCATTTTAATAAATAATTAGTATTTTTGTATTTATTGCTATTTACAGATTAAACAAAATTTGATTCTGGTGGCATTTTTTCCTTTAGGCTCTATTAGCATGAAAGGCCTAATTCTTGCTACCAATTTACAATTTTTGCTGGTATAACAACTGTGTTATAGCATTTAGCAAACTAAGAAATAGTTTAGGTACATATAGCTATTCAAATTCAGATCAGACTTCTTTAACTTCATTTTCGTTGCTAATGGTTCCTGTATAGTATTGGATATGCTCTTAGAGGAAGTACCAGCCGGAGCTTCTAGTACTTGCCCTGTTCTAAGAAAATTGAGGGTCATGAAAGTAATGACCAGCTATAAGTATTCCACAGCATGTCAACATTACCATTGTCACTGTAGTTGGTCCCAATGAAAGAAGCTAATAATTATTTTAAACTCAGTATACATGTACATGTAGTACAAAAGGTTGATCTGGCTAGCCTGCAAAATAACTACACTGCTGTCTCTCATTACTCTTTTTTTCTTGAGTCATGTTGCAATCCTTTGCAAAATTCTGTAATAAATCATGACAAAAAGCAGGGTGTACCTAAATTTGTTTTGTTTTTTTTGTTCAAGCAGGTCAGTTGCAATTGCTGTAATCGGTACAAATGTACCGTGAAGTGGTGCCAGCAGAACTCAAATGCCTGCAGTTAAGCAAACAGATTTAAAAAGAAACATGTGTACATTTATTTAATAAATTGGCCTTTTTAACCTGCTGACTGGTACATTACTTGCAAACAATAGCCAAAGGATTCTAATGAAAAATTTATCACATCAACCAATTTGATCTACCTGCCACCAGAATTCTCAGGACAAATCAACACCATCAGGATTTGTACTGTTTACACAGATTTATCTTTTTTCTAAAAAACAGTGTCATAAACAGAGAGTGATTAAAGGATTACTGTATTTGCAGAGCTACATGTACATGTACCTGTAAGTATGACCAGTCATAAATAATCTGGAATTTCTTTAAGAGCCTTGGATTAACTTATATTTCCTTATCACAAAGCAAATTCAGGAGCATTATCTGGTGCCTCCTGCTCTGAGGAGAAGCCATTCATCCTTACTATCGTCATTGAGTAATGACAAGCTTACATGTGACTGTTTTAATTTTGCTTTACTGTTCAGCTTGGCAAAGAGGTTTTACAGGCTAAGTTGTTGACTCCTCCATGCTAGAGGCCTCCTGCAAAGCACTTTTCTCGGATTTGTCATCTCCTTGGTCTGTATTGCCTTGCTCTGAAGACATGTACTCCACAATTATACAAGCTTTGAACTTACAACAATCCTTCTTCGAAATAGAGGTTGACTGGAAAAGGGTTGTCTCTTCAGCTTTTTCTGCAACAAACAGAAATTATACATAATTGAGACCATTAATATTGAAACTAAAGCTGTAGATGCTTGTCATGAAACATACTATTGTCCTTTTCGGTCTAAATATTCTAGCCTTTTATAGCAAAAAAGGTTGCTATTAGATATTATATGTATTATTACTGGCTCCGTCACACTAGGTGACTAAACTTACTTATTTCCTGAGTTAACTGATATCAAAATGAACTAGTTTAAACAAATTGCTGGCTCGTAACTTTCATGTCTCAGATCTAACCCCAAGCGGTCATCATAATCCTGATTACACTGTACCTGTTAAAACTAAGACCTTCTTTGAGCAAAAACAAAACGAAAAAATGAATGCGAGAAACCCTTTTGTAACAAGACAATTGACTCCAGGTAAATCATTGTATTAATTTTATAGTGAGTGTCCCACTACATCACTACCATAACAACATTATTGACATATCACTTAAAACTTCATGAACCTGCTTCTTCTGCAATATTGCCATCACTTACAGTGTATCTTGGGAACAAAAGTTTAATTATCAGTATTTATTCGATTAACCGCCCTGGCCCCTCTTTAAATTTTTGGGCCTTGATAGTGGGCGCTTATTCGAGGTGGGTGCTTATTCGAGGCTGGGCGCTTATTAAATTTTCGCCATTCTCAGCAAGTGTAGTATGTTTATTTTTTGCTACAAAATAATAAATGGTAATAACAAAAAGCGAAGAAGTAACAAAGCAAGGTTTCAGCCCAATCTGTAAAATACTCTGAAGAAAACTCCGTCTTGGGAGGGTCTCTTATTATGTCTTATTTGAGTTTGTGTGGGAGGGAGGGGGTGGGGTGGGCGTTTATTCGAGGCTGGGCGCTTATTAACTTTTTCTGCCTTTGGGATGGGCGCTTATTCGAGGTGGGCGCTAATTCGAGGTTGGGCGCTTATTCAATAAATACGGTATACTATAATTGCCTCATATGAGAGAATCCAAGACAGTTTTAGATTCTGGATTCCACACTGCGGATTCCGGAACCTTTTTCAGTGGATTACTTGGTTTCTGGATTCCAATCGCTTGACTTGTATTTCAGGTTTCAAAGCTCAGAATTTAGGATTCCAGAACAAAATTGCCCGAATTCTGGATTCCATAAGCAAAATTTCCCGGATTCCAGAATCCCTTACATGGGGTGATCATAAAAAACAATCAGTGAAAGCAGGGTACCATGATCTAAATTCTAGCTACACTATGTCTTCAGCAACATGGCAGTCACTGCCTTTACTCCCCTTTTAAATTTTGGAAAAGCCTTTGGAGAAAGTAGGCACTTGAGGATAAGGTTAATTTTGGCCTAATAGAGGGGAATTAACGCTTGCTTCAATTCTTATTAAATTTTCCAAGACCATTTATCTGAAGAGAACAACCAAACAAAAGATTACAGTATTTTTTACAACAACAGGACAAATAAAGTTTCAGGAGTAGGGGTGGTCCTTGTTGATTACTGAATATTGGAATGCAAATGTAGGTATTACCAAATAGCATCATTAGCGGCTTAACAGTAACAACGAACTTTCTTATACTTACTGAGCATTTCTTTTACTCCCGATTAGTTGCTCCCTCAGCATTTGTTTGTCCTCAACATTTCTCCTGCCTCTTCTTAGTTTTACAATGTCTGCTAATTAAAACAGCATCGATTCACCGAAGTCTATTTACTAAGTACTAACGGCTGCTTTTCTTGGATCCACTCGTTACTACTTGATCGTCGCCGATGGAGCTATCTAGATGTCTTTCATGGTGGATTTTCGTCGAAGGATCTATAAGTAAGCAGTTCCCTCGAGTTCGAGCGATTATTTTTATAAGTTCTTCGAGGACACATTCGTTCGATAAATTCGAACAAATAAGACTGGCCGATTCCTCCATACTCGACAGTCAACCCCACAAAGAAGGAAAATTCGAAACCTCTTGATAAATATGGCGTTAAACGTACGAAGTAAAAGCTGATGGCAAATCGATGGCAGTGGAACGCGTTAACGGTCGACGAATTTCAATTGTTGTGCCTCGTTCTCGAACGGTTATGCAGACTGTCGCTGACCAGCACCACTCAGGCGCAAATGCTTGGGAAATCGGGCGCGCGGTCTTTTGGCGATTTGGCGGGAGGAAGAGATTGCCTATGTTGCTGGATTTCTTCTCAAGGATGTTCGAAATTTAAAAGGTAAAGTCGATGTATTTTGCTTTGTATATCGTGCTTCTACTGCCACATCTATGTTATAACCGGGAATAAACTACATTTGCATCCATATTTACATTTGTAGCATGTATGAGCACGCGTGTCGCGTGCGTCTATGTGGTAGTGATCCAGCTGAAAAAAGCCTTGTTGAAAAATTTAAGTTGTGTTAAGTCAGTTAAATATGTAGTTATGCAATGTTAAAATGCTAATTTATTGGTATTTGGCAGAAGTAGCTCAAGATTAATTGCTTGAGTAATTTATACTACCTCTGGCGCTATATTGACATATTGAGCGTAATACCTGTACTTGTACCATTGATTTTGACAGGGGTAGGGTGGAGCCTTTATTTTATATACGTTCAGCGTGCAAAGAAAGTAGTGTCCGATAGCCCGGGGCTAGCGGATTTTGCTATCGGGCTAGTAAATTCTGTTCTTCACTTGCCCGACGGGCAAGTACAATGCAGTTTGAGAAATTCACCTTACAGAAGAACTGTTAAATCAAAAATTTTGTGGGTAGTTGAAATGACGTTTGGGCTAGTAAATGTTAGCTTCAGCTTGCCCGAATGGCAAGCTGTAAAAATGACTTTCTTTGCACCCTGTACGTTACTGTCATTTTTTTCTGTTTTGTTTTGTCATGTTTTCATATACAAGGTTGTTTTGTTTATAATAGTTTATAATGATACAGCTGTACATGTAAGCTGAGTCAAAAGGTCAAAAATGCTAAAATGTGCATTTATAATGTTCATAAAGATAATGGCAACACAAGTAACACAATTCATTTAATTTCACAATATTATCAATAAAGGTAGAATTAACAGTTATTTTTAGTGGGTTTAGTGACTTTTTTGTGTATTTGTTTCAGATTTTTCCTTGAGTGGTACTGGAGTTATTTCCAATGTTCTTGAAATTGAGTTGCATCACCTGAACTCTCCAAAAGATAAAGAGGTCAATGAAATACAGGTTCAATATGGGGAAGCTGTTTGTGGTCTGTGCATGAAGAAATGCTACAGGGTATTCCAGTGGGTCTCAATTTATTTACAGTAATCATTTTTTCACTTCACAAGATGACAGAATTGAAGCTTATATATTGAATGCTGGCATCCATCAATACCCCATCTGTTTGGGGTAAATGTCACATAACAGAAACCTCACATGTACTTCCTTGGGTTATAGTTTTACCATCTTTACAATATTATTTTTCTTTTTCTTTGTGCGGTGCCCTGCTAAGGAAATCCATGTCCCTTTCACAGTGTTCTGCAGGAACATAATGTACTGAAATTGTGTGAAGCTATAGAACATTTGCACTCATACAGGTTTCCCCACAGAGATATAAAGAGTGACAACATTATTCTTACAGAGGTAAACAATATGTACCACCCAATGCTCATTGATTTTGGAAAGGCTATCTTGCTATCGGATGCCCCTTCAAAACAGCAGTCCATGACTGCTCCTTAGCACTGACATATAGCTTAAGAAATATGCCTCAGATAATATGTTTTAAAAAGACAAATCATATTGAACTCAAAATCAGGGTTGTAAAGAGCAGCAAAGAAATTATTCATTCATGTCTGTGCTGAGTTTCTATTCACAAATGATATGAAATACAAAGCAATTTCACCATTTGTTGTAGTATTGGCTGTTGGGCTTTCAAAATGTGGCCATTTTTAGGAGGCTTACCATCAAGATGTGGTCATCTCTAGGTATAGTCAGTGAAAACTAGAACAAATAGCGGTAAGAACAAAATTGTCAGTTTTGCTGTGAATTTTCTTGAATAAATGGCCATGAGGAAATTGTGTACAAGTGAATAATCTCAACCCTGACTTTGAAATGCACAGAACCTTTTTTTTTTTTTTACCAAATTTAAGGTACTGTGGGTGGCCTTGTTATTGTTAGCTTTTTAATAATAATATTATGATGTAGAAAAAATACAGTAAATGATCTGACTACTGGACCTTTGTCCAGTAGATTTGTTGTAGTGTATTTACTTAATGTAAAGGGAGGTAGTGTGGGCCCTCTGTAACTGTATACAACAGTTACTGTGTCATTTTGAATTTTTAGTTTTAGTAATTGGAGATCCCTGCCCATTGTGCGACCCTAGGCTTTACTATTATCAAATGACAGAAGGGGAATGTAACACATGCCCAGGTTATGTACCAATATTGACTCACTTCAAGTGGTTATGTGATTTAGAATTGGACCCAAAAAAAGACCGGGGCCCAGTTGTTCCAAAGACCGATTAGCACTAACCCAGTGCTAGATTTTAACCTGCGTTTCTTTTTCCTTTTAATCAAAAGCATTTTGTCAGATAATTTTCCCTTTTTTTTAAGTATCAAATCACCAAATTGTAGACAAAAGGAATTCAAATGAATTTGTTTTTAAAACTGTCATATCTGAATTCATATTTCGTACTAACCTTGGGTTATCTTAACCCAGCTTTAAACAACCCAGCCTGGACGGATAATAAATGCTGCATGTTAATTTGTTTCACCGCCTTAGTTTTTTCTTTATAGCTTACAACTTTTCATGATCCAAGGCCAACTCAGAGCTCCTGTAACCCAGTAGGGGTCTGTTGATTTTTAAGGGAGGGGGGCTTTGTTGGGTGGGATTTGACCGGTAGCTCCTGTATATGAAGACCCTCTCTTCATCAGAATTTTTTTAGAAGCCACAACCCCGCTCCTTGTATCCCAAAATCAAATAACCAGGATTCAGGTGAATTTTAGCCAGCAAAAATGCTATGGCTTTTTTGGATTGAATAGCTAGTACTTAATGAACAGTGAGACTCAAACTCAGGGTTGCAAACAACAAAGTGAGAAAAATTAGCCTTTCATAAATTTGTCAGCTGAGTTAATGTTCAAATAAAATTGTGAGCAGATTCACCATATTTTGTTGTAGTATTGGCTGTTGGGTTTTCAAAATGTGGTCATTTTAGGAAGCCGCCATCGAGATGTGGTCATCTCTAGGTGGGCAGTCAAAACTACGACAAAAACCGGTTAAACTAAAATTGTTGGTTTTAAATTGAATTAAGTTTGTTGGTTAAATGGCCATGAGGAAATTATGTACAAGTGAATAATCACAACACTGAGTTTGAAATCCACAAAACTTTTTATTTCGGACCAAATTTTATTTTTTTAGTATGATGTACAAAAATGCAGTAAATGATCTGACCACTGGACCCAACCTTGTGTTATCTTAACCCATCTTTGAGCAACCCAGTCCAGAAGTTTAAAGGCTGCATGTTGATTTGTTTCACTACCTTAGTTTTTTTTTCTTTATAGCTCTAGACTTTTCATGATCCAATGCCAAATCAGAGCTCCTGTAATCCAATAAAGATCTGTGCATTGTTTATTGTGCAGGGGGACTGTCAGGTAGGATTTGACCTTTCGACCCGGTAGCTCCTGTAGATCCTCCTTGTATCCCAAGCAAATAACCAGGCTTCAGGTGAATTCTAGCCAGCAAAAATGCTATGACTTTTTGGATTGAATAGGTATAAGTGCTTAATGAACAGTAAAACTCAAAATCAACATTAAAATCAGTGGAACTCAAACTCAGGGTTGCAAACAACAAAGTGAGAAAAATTAGCCTTTCATAAATTTGTCAGCTGAGTTAATGTTCAAATAAAATTGTGAGCAGTTTCACCATATTTTGTTGTAGTATTGGCTGTTGGGTTTTCAAAATGTGGTCATTTTTAGGAAGCCGGCCATTGAGATGTGGTCATCTCTAGGTGGGCAGTCAAAACTACAACAAATACCGGTTAAACTAAAATTGTTGGTTTTAAATTGAATTAAGTTTGTTGGTTAAATGGCCATGAGGAAATTATGTACAAGTGAATAATCACAACACTGAGTTTGAAATCCACAAAACTTTTTATTTCGGACCAAATTTGATTTTTTAGTATGATGTACAAAAAATACAGTAAATGATCTGACTACTGGACCTAACCTTGTGTTATCTTAACCCATCTTTGAGCAAACCCAGTCCAGAAGGATAAATGCTGCATGTTAATTTGTTTCACTACCTTAGTTTTTTCTTTATATCTCTAGACTTTTCATGATCCAATGCCAAATCAGAGCTCCTGTAATCCAATAAAGATCTGTGCATTGTTTATTGTGCAGGGGGACTGTCAGGTAGGATTTGACCTTTCGACCGGTAGCTCCTGTAGATCCTCCTTGTATCCCAAGCAAATAACCAGGCTTCAGGTGAATTCTAGCCAGCAAAAATGCTATGACTTTTGGATTGAATAGGTAGTGCTTAATGAACAGTAAAACTCAAAATCAACATTAAAATCAGTGGAACTCAAACTCAGGGTTGCAAACAACAAAGTGAGAAAAAATTAGCCTTTCATAAATTTGTCAGCTGAGTTAATGTTCAAATAAAATTGTGAGCAGTTTCACCATATTTTGTTGTAGTATTGGCTGTTGGGTTTTCAAAATGTGGTCATTTTTAGGAAGCCGGCCATCGAGATGTGGTCATCTCTAGGTGGGCAGTCAAAACTACAACAAATACCGGTTAAACTAAAATTGTTGGTTTTAAATTGAATTAAGTTTGTTGGTTAAATGGCCATGAGGAAATTATGTACAAGTGAATAATCACAACACTGAGTTTGAAATCCACAAAACTTTTTATTTCGGACCAAATTTGATTTTTTAGTATGATGTACAAAAAATACAGTAAATGATCTGACTACTGGACCTAACCTTGTGTTATCTTAACCCATCTGTGAGGAAACCCAGTCCAGAAGGATAAATGCTGCATGTTAATTTGTTTCACTACCTTAGTTTTTTCTTTATATCTCTAGACTTTTCATGATCCAATGCCAAATCAGAGCTCCTGTAATCCAATAAAGATCTGTACATTGTTTATTGTGCAGGGGGGGGGGGGGACTGTCAGGTAGGATTTGACCTTTCGACCGGTAGCTCCTGTAGATCCTCCTTGTATCCCAAGCAAATAACCAGGCTTCAGATGAATTCTAGCCAGCAAAAATGCTATGACTTTTTGGATTGAATAGGTAGTGCTTAATGAACAGTAAAACTCAAAATCAACATTAAAATCAGTGGAACTCAAACTCAGGGTTGCAAACAACAAAGTGAGAAAAATTAGCCTTTCATAAATTTGTCAGCTGAGTTAATGTTCAAATAAAATTGTGAGCAGTTTCACCATATTTTGTTGTAGTATTGGCTGTTGGGTTTTCAAAATGTGGTCATTTTTAGGAAGCCGGCCATCGAGATGTGGTCATCTCTAGGTGGGCAGTCAAAACTACAACAAATACTGGTTAAACTAAAATTGTTGGTTTTAAATTGAATTAAGTTTGTTGGTTAAATGGCCATGAGGAAATTATGTACAGGTAAATAATCACAACACTGAGTTTGAAATCCACAAAACTTTTTATTTTGGACCAAATTTGATTTTTCAGTATGATGTACAAAAAATGCAGTAAATGATCTGACCACTGGACCCAACCTTGTGTTATCTTAACCCATCTTTGAGCAACCCAGTCCAGAAGTTTAAAGGCTGCATGTTAATTTGTTTCACCACCTTAGTTTTTTCTTTATAGCTCTATACTTTTCATGATCTAAGGCTAACTCAGAGCTGCTGTGATCCTGTAACCCAATAAAGGTCTGTTCATTGTTTATGGGGCGGGGGGGAGGGGGTTTGTCGGGTAGAATTTGACAATTTGACTGGTAGCTCCTGTAGATCCTCCTTGTATCCCAAGTTCAAATAACCAGGCTTCAGGTGAATTTTAGCCAGCCGAAATGCTATGACTTTTTTGGATTGAATAGGTAGTACTTAATGAACAGTAAAACTCAAATCAGCATTAAAATCAGTGAAACTTAAACTCAGGGTTGCAAACAATAGAGTAAGAAAAATTAGCCTTTCATAAATTTGTCAGCTGAGTTAATGTTCAAATAAAATTGTGAGCAGTTTCACCATATTTTGTTGTAGTATTGGCTGTTGAGTTTTCAAAATGTGGTCATTTTTAGGAAGCCCACCATCGAGATGTAGTCATCTCTAGGTGGTCAGTCAAAACTACAACAAATAAGTCCCGTATGATATATGCCCCTAATATTCTAGAATCAGTATAAATATTGTCGGAAATATAGAAAGAACCCTGCAGTATAATTGTATTAGCTATTCAGGGTCTTTATGATGACTACGTTGAAACAAAACACTGCCAGTATCAAACCTTAAATGACAGAGGCAAGTGCCTCGGTTTGCCTCATACTGGCTATGGCCCTGACTGTAGGAAATACAGTGCATCAATGATCTGACTACTGGACCTTAATAACGAGTGGATTTGAATTAGTGTATTTGCTTTAAATTAGTAGCCCGGGAAAGGTTTATGCCAGGGGCGCTGTCAGAAAGGGACACCTTTTTCATGCTTCAGGTATGAAAGGATAGGGATTTCCTGAGTTAAAGTATATGACAGGGTAGACTATCTGTCATTTCGTTCTGTAAAAAGACTAACAGAAGAAATTTGTGAATGTAAAATTGTCAAAAAAAATTAACTGGTTTCTGATTCCTTTATATTAAAATGACAGTGCACATAAAACAGTTAACAGGAAAGATGCATGTAAGGGGTTGGACCCCTGGGCGGAGTCTCACAGCGTGTACAAAAAATTTATTGTAACAATGTAATGTTACAGTTGAGATTGGGAATTTACTTTAGTCACAAAACGGATCAAACATATAGGAAATGTCACATGCACATCACCTTTGACTGTCAGCAAATGTTATGCAGCTCACTATATTTGCTCCCCTTGCAAATATGGATAATTATGGTGCAAATGTGCAAATTTATGATACAGCCAAATGTCTAGAAATTTATTGTTTTTGCTCTTAAGGCAAATACGAGTAAACCACATGCAAAAGTGTTCTTTTGGTATCCTGGAAAAACAAGAGCAAATACCACTGCAAATTAGTGGTTTTGCAATATATTTGCCTGCATTTGAAGTAAAGTGAAAACTGTCATTTTTGCCAAGGATGTAAATTTGAGTAAACTGGTAGAAATGTTGAAGATTTGCCCATGCTGCAAATATGTATCAAATTTGTATCAAACCATTACATTTACTTCACTTTTGCGTATCAATACGTATCTAGCAAATATATGTATTTGCCCACACTTTAGCCGACAGCGCAAATTTAATGCAAATTTGGAGCTCCAAATTTACCACATATTTGCACCTTTCGCAAACATTAGTAAATCCGTTTTTTCGTCCAGTGTAAAAAATTATGAAAACTGATAAGTTTTGATGTTAATCAGATAATGTTTTATTCCGCAACAGTCGCTGCATCCATCAAGAGAGAGTAAAAGGAAAAAAGAAGAAACAAATATAAAAAGAATGTAAAATAAACGAAAAGGAAACGCAGTGGTGCTCAGTCAGTCGGGATAAAGTTTAAAATCGAAGACGATATAACAAAGCGTTATTTAACGAAAAATGATACTAAATTTGACATTGGCGTCGGATAAAAGTAACAAACGTCTTCGTTTACTTGCCGTTCAATAAAATATCCAAGGAGATCCTCGCATACACATAAATAACGTACACACAATAACCAAAGCTATAAATAATCGTTATGGCGACCCAACCAAAGTCGTCCCATCTCGTTTTTACATTTTCAGGTGAATAAATGGACATATTGATATGGTATCAAATAACAATCGTGATAAATATTGAGAAATACTGGTATTAAGTTCCCTGAAATTTGAAAATATCAAGCAATACATAAAATTGTTTTCCTGTCTAGTGGTTGTGAAATATTATTCACTTTAGATGATAGAGTAACCTCGTAAAAGTGCACCACCAGTGCTTTTATCCAGCGCTAAAAGCGCCAACTCCGTGGAATGGTCTTCAACATTATCTCGTTATCGGTATTTTGTTTCCTAATGATCGAGTCTTAACAGCTTGCAGGGTAGCGGTCAATCAATCATATGGTACTATATATGTGACACATTCCGATTACACAAGTCTATACTGCTTCTGGTCAATCGGGAATGCCGAGATCCTTCACGCAGTTGGTCTCTTTCTAATCCAGGAGATCAACTTTGGTTACTGCAGGTATTCATTGCTATTGTTACTTTACTAAATCCGATGCCACTCAATGCCAAAATTCAAATAGCACTATTCTATTAAGTGCTGGGGACCATATTAACCATGATTGAATTCTGGAGGGAAGGAGCCACTTAAACCTTGGTTAATTGCAAGTTACGAGCTTATAATTTCGGTTAGTAGTACAGCCTAGCTTTTTGTTATTCAGTTTGAGTAGTTTTTATTATTATAATTATTATTATTATTATTATTATTATTATTATTATTATTATTATTATTATTATTATTATTATTATTATTATCATCATCATCATTTTCTGTACAGCCGCTATGTCCTATCTAAATTGTCCTGGCATTTCACTATAGCTAATATATCCAAAACTTTGATAACAGAACATCTCGACTCTGCAGTGAATGGCTATTTTCGAAAATGGCTTGATATTCCGATATCTGGAACACTGAGCAATGTTTTCCTAGAACGCAATAAATTTGGTCTTAATATTTGTCCTCCCTCTATTAAATTTACTCAGTGCCAAACAGTTCTCCGAAATTCATTAAAAGAGTCACCAGATGATTCCTTAAAAGATCTCTGGAAATCGTCAAGCTGTCACACTAATATTCAATATGATGTGTACAAATCCACTAAGAAAGTTCTTAAAGATTTCCGTTCTAATCAAGAGGATAAACTGCAACATTACCTAACATCTCAAGGTTTCTTCTTCTCAAATGTTATCAAGTTCTCATTGTCATCTGTAAATTCTATTTGGTCAGAGGCCCAGTCTCATCTACCCAAGAACATTTACAATTTTACCATCTGCTACATCAACAACTCCCTCCCAAAACGTAAGAATATTGCAAGATGGGGATTATCACAAAGTCCTGATTGCTCCTTTTGCCTTAATCCTGAATCACTCCTTCATGTTGTCGCTGGTTGTCAACAGTACCTTGATCGCTTTACCTGGAGACACGACTTAATCCTTAACTTCATTGGCAAGTCACTTCAACCTGTAATTAATGTTTACTCTTCACTCTATGCAGATGACAATGGTTTTCTGAACCCCTCAATCATAACTGGTGAAAATTATCTTCCAGAACTTCTTTTCCTAATCCAGTCCAAGTGCCTATATGTTCTAGAATTAACAGTTGGTTTCGAGTCTAACCTTAACAACAATGCAGTGCGTGAGAAAGAAAAATATCTGAACTTGATCAACTAAATGAGTAGTAATTACAGATGTATGAGATTTGTAAATCTCTCCATGAGTTCCCTTGACAATTTTTCCGATGAATGCTCCACGTTCTTAGACATGATTAATGACATTGGCATTGACAAAAAGCAGCAACGTTATATAATCAAGAAAATTATTAATATAGCCATTAGAGCAACATATTAAATCTTTTGTTGTAGAAATAGGAACTGGGATAGCCCAGACTTAATGCAGTTTTAATTTTTTTTTGGCTTTTGTTTTGTTTTGTTTTTGTTTTTGTTGTTGTTTTGTTTTTTGTTTTTTTTTTGTTTTTAATAATCCAATCTCAAGCAGCATTTGTAAATTGCCTATACGTAGCGAGATTTACAATTGTACATTCAAAAACACAAATAAAGTTTCCATTATTATTATTATTATTATTATTATTACTATTATTATTATTATTATTATTATTATTATTATTATTATTATCATTATCATTATTATTATGTGCTGAATTGGACCAAGAGAGGAGAGGAGCAGTAATTAAACGGGATATGGAAGTTCATAGATTACCTCATTCGAGTGCTTGTCCGTGAACATACTTTCATATCTTGTAAAGAAAATGAGCAGGAATAAATTCTGTTGACGGCCTGATATATATTCTGTCACGTAGTTATTATCACAGTGAATATTTCAAGATTTTTGACGGCAATGGAGGTCTGAAATTTCACCAAAGCGGCTGCTCGTCCTCTGTTCGTGGATCATTGGTAGAGGTTCCGTTCTTTGATTCAAACAACATAACAGCAAGTTTCAACATGCGTCGCTTGAGAAGTGCTATCAAGGCTGATTACCTGATACTGGGGAAAAGCCTTCATGCAGGTAAACCCCAAAATCGATCAATTGCATGTCAAAAAACTCATCAATTCCAGCACTTACATTGGCTTCATTGCCTTCAAAGCCCTTATAGTATGCGGGGTCAATTTCTCTTCAAAATGACAGGGTCGGTCGGTCGGTCCTTCGGTCAATTCTCACTTTTGTTAAGGGTCCTGACATTAAAAAGCAGGAAAAGAGAGTCTGTCACGCGGTAACTATGCATTTTTTAACGAAAGATTATAGCAACTTCATCATATATACTGTCTGGTTTTCCTTCTTATCTCTTAAAATATGGTTTGTCGTAGGCAGTAGTTTCCTTTTGGTTCAATTTGATGCTTACCTGGCCAATTAGACTTTTATTTCTTTTAGCATTTTATTACCTCTTTTGTTAAATGATGTTTTGTTCTCTCTATTTCTTTTCTCGTTGTCAATAATTACCCCCTCTCAAGCTACGTGCAACCTTTGACCGGTTTCAAAGTTTGCGCAACAACTGCCATCAACATGCAAGACAGGGTAACCTTCATGTAACCTTCAACAATGTTGGGAGTTGTTGGACAACAACGTTGCTTCTGTTTGCACGGGGCTTTGGATGACAATTTGTTTAATTATTAATTTGGTTAATTATTTCTCATATTTAGCTCAAGTGCTTTATGGCTGGAATTTAACAGTGGTGAATACCACCTTTTCAAGCATATTGATTCGGTGGGCTAACCTTACCAGCCTTCTCAACCGTAAAGTTGGTCATTACGTTGTCTTCTTAAACAGAAGAAATAACAGTGTGGCATTCCATCAAGTTGTCAATGGGGATCAATTAACAACGGAAATCAAAGGACTCACTCATTTAACAAATTATACAGTGGAAGTCGTGGGGATTGACACTCTGCGGAAGCCATACAAAACTCCATCAGAAGCCATCATGACGGCAAACCGTAAGAGTAAGTACTTTAAGTAGGGTACCGTAAGTGAGGAAACGCCTTTATTTTTCTAATGAAAAAAGGAAAGGGAACGACTTCAAAAGTAAATACTCTAGGACTTAATTAATTAATAACTTATTAGCCATATATGGTTAGGGTTTTTTTGTTGTTTGTAATTTTAGTTATTTGGAAATAGTTGATATACTATTTATTGTATGACAACAAATAAATAATGGCGCAGGATTTGTCAACTTTGTTCGATAATTTTAAGCCCGGGATGGGGGGATTGGATGGCTTTTCTACTTTCGTAGCAGTATCCCCGGGGAGAGACCCGCGGGATTTGTAAATATCTATATATATTTATAAAATAAAGCATTAAAATAAATATATTCAAGGAATCCTAGTTGTTCAGTACCACCAAAAAACAAAGATATTCTCTCCTTTCCCATTCCAAGACTTACAAGGTAAGCTGAACCTAATCATGTGTAGAAAACAACTGGAATAGCTTTCTATGCTTATTTTTAGTTAATTCTTATATGTGTAATTATAGCGGAGCTCCACGCGCGCGCTTCGCGCGCGCGCGTGGGCGGAGCCCCATAGCTAAGTAAATCTACCCATCCCAGAAAATTTGGTTATCACGTGACCGTACACCGAACGAACGAACGAACGAACGAACGTCCGTCCGCACCACAGGCATACCAATGTTTACTGTCACACTTTCTAGCTAGTTTGGGAGCGCAGGAGAAAAGTGATTGCACATCAATGTTGCGATCAATTGACAGCTGTTAAAACAGGGTATCCGCTGACCAGTATCACCTGACCGTATCGCGGGCTCAGGCATCGACCCATCGAGGTCGAGTTTTTTTTTGAAGTTATCCCCTGACAAGTTACTAGTTTTCAAATGATCGCAAGGTCAAGTTTGTCTTTTTAAAAATTTATATGAAATATGTCGTGTTTATGTCACTATGGCCCAGCACTATTAAGATTTGATTTCAAACTTACCTCGGACACGAAAATTCAGCCAGTTATTTAAAAACACAGGCGGAGAAGACCTTTTGTTATCATGGACACACGTTGGTCACGCTCTACGTCCAATTTTTATGCTCTGATTGGTCAAAATTTGACATGTGAGTTCATGCGGAAAATTTATGCAGCATCTTGAAACTTGTTTACTTTTGACAGCTGAAGCTGACAGAGTTTTGTGTCAACTTGTGATTTTTTTTTATGTCTTTCTCCACTGGATGTACAAAATGAACTACAGCTGCTATCAGGAGTCTTCTGTTATTCATGGCTGGTTTGTTTATTGGGTTTTTGGTTAAGAAATGCAGCATCTTGAAACTTGTTTACGTTGACAGCTGAAGCTGACAGAGTTTTTTGTTAACTTGTGATGTTTTTTACTGTCTTTTCCCACTGGATGCACAAAATGAAATACAGCTGCTATCAACAGGCTTCTGTTATTCATGGCTGGTTTGTTTACTGAATTTTTGGTTGAGAAATGCGCCGCTTGTCAAAGTCACAAATCCGATTTCGGATGACATCGTTTTCACTTTTCACCTTGCTGGATGCGGGTTGAAAAGTCCCTCAAGCGGCTTTCAGGAGCTGGATCTCGAATGGTAAGTCTGAGTAATTATTGTGGTTGTTTTTAGTATATCTAATTTCATGAAGTCGAGCGCAGTTTATGAGGCTAGTTTATGCACGTTTGTATTAAGATCTGAGACAATGATCTGACCTAGTATGAGATTTGATATAAGCTTACAGAACTTTAAAAAACCTTTAGTCGATATTTTCTCTCCGCAAATAGAAAGAAAAAAATGTTCCGAAGAGTATTTAGTTATAATTTTGGCTGTAGAAAGAAAGCTTTCAGCGATTTTCTTGCCTCGAGTTCATCTTTGAAAACAGTAAACACGGGAAAGCTGGCTAAAAGCTTTAAGCTTCAGCTTAAGGACTTAGGATTTTTAGAGACGCTTTAATACTTGTCTTCGTGAATGAAAATTTTTGTCTCTGTAAATGTTTCACCGAATTATATTTCTTTTATTGATCGTTAGTAGTCTCTTGCAATTTTAAACACTTTACCGTTTGTTTTCAGTCGTTCATAAACATCGCTTGTAGGAGTACTCAAAATGCCGCGCGTATCAAATGCTTTTTAAGATTACACATCGTTTTAAAACCACTAAATGAAAAATAAACACAAAAAATTCTTTATTATGTTGAAGCGTAACTCTTTTAATGCTTACTGAAAATTTGGTGCTTGTCAAAAGTCAGAACCGGCTGGCCGGTATAGGGGTTTTTTGAAATTTTTTGAACGGTTTTGCTAAAAGCCCACGTGTGCCTCGATGGTTCTGAATATTTGTCTTGAAAAATTGTGAAATACTGCATTTTGTCTGAGGTCTGTATGATAAAAACAGCGCCTCATATTACTGTTTCACCTCAGATGTTATGTATAAAAAGTATGAAATGTTGGTTTACACGCACCCAGATTTGTTGGCAAGATTTTGTTAAGTAAACTTGTCGAACGTCAAAAATTCGGCCTGATTTGTTTTCCAAGAATTCCTTTTCCAGGCCTAATCTACTGTGAACAAGAGCCATCATGGCTCTTAAATGTGATCGAAGATGATTGCTATTTTTTGGGTGTACATATAAGGCTATCGACTCGATGTAAGATTTTTTTTCACTCTAAAATCACTTAGCCTTAGCTTTCCCTAAAAAGTCACATATGTGCCCTTAAGTTAACCGATTTGTAGATTACAGGTTTATTGTTTGATCTGAATTATAAATTTATTAATGGAGGCTTCGCTTTTAGCCCTGGCTAAATCTATATATTAGCAAATAGAAAATTAGTTATGGAAAATAGAACTCTTTTGAAATATTTCACCTTTTGACTTGGCAGAACACACTTCTTTGCCCCCAGGGGAGGGGCGTTAGTAGCTTTTTGTTAAACAATTTTGGTTTTGGGTAGGGGGGATTTGTAAACGTCGTTGTGCAAATGACCGAAGATCCGGAGATTCCCCGGGGTAATCCCCCCTTCCCCTCGGGATGGCCGCTGATAAGTGCATTAAAATAGCAAGAGAGACTACTAACAATCAATAAAAGAATTCGATGACACATTTACAGAGACAACAATTTTTATTCACAAAGACGAACGGGTGGGCGGTGCACGGTCACGTGATTACCAAATTTTCTGGGATGGGTAGATTTACTTCCAAATGGTGCTCCGCTAATATATATGACCAGCTCCTCATGTTTATGATTAAATCCCACGTAGCCAATATCAATACCATCCATCACCACAGTCACATCTTCCTCAAGAAAAAAAAAACATCCAGCGGCTTGGAAAACCTTTTTCTTTTTCATTTCATCTGCGTTGAAAGTTTTGTTTTCCACATATAGTGATACATACCGGGTAAGCACACGAAATGTCTTACAAAACTCGACGTGTGCTGCAAGGTATCTTCGAGCAAAAGCTTAAGCCCCCCAGTTCCCCGGCTCCGCTGTCTTCAGCGTGTCTTTGTACTAGAGGCAGCGTCAAACGTTAATTTGTATTAAACACGTATCACCTAGGTCCCTCCAATATCGTATTCCCCGCCATTCGTCTTTCGAGACTCCATTTGTCAAATACGGAACGCCTGTTAAGAAAATATCTTCAATGGTGGGATTATTTTGGCTACATATAATACTACGTCACTAGGATATAATGGGGCTACTTAATTATCAACTCACAACAGGATTATTCCGCTTCATAAAGCATACTTTGCAATTGTATCATACTCGGGTGGAGGCCTTCAAATAAATTGACAACTTCGTCCAGATCGATAGGTATATCGTACTTGATATGCGTGATAGCCAGTGAGGGTCAGTAAGCTGCTCGGGTTAGTGCCATCTGTAATTCCGGAAAGCCAAATCACTGCTCAGCAACTAACTGACTTAGTAGATCTGTACAAAGATGATCTGCCTTCGCCACAGCTCTTCTTTGCCGAGTTAATACTTGACTAGACGTGACTGCGATTGAAATATTCACGTGGAGACTACAGAAAATAGCATTTCCAGTATTTCCAAATTTTCTGGGGTAACAATTTGCGCCAAGAAACCCCTAGAGACTCGCGCCTTTGGCGCTCGCAGTATTTCCCGCTGTTAACAAATATTTGTATCAGTACGAACACCCGATCTCAAACCCCAGCTACGCGCCTGTTTTCCGTTCAAATTCTCTTTTATTGTACGATTTACTGCAATAATATTGAAATGAAAGCTTATCCTGTTACAAAAACAATTATAGATGACCTACAACTGACCCTATTCCGCATTCTTTTCATTTCCAAGAGCATGCAAATCAAGACAATTGCAGAGAATATTCGTGCATTATATATATATATATATATATATAATTTTTTTTATTTAACCCATTCAGCACTATTTAGTTGATGATCAATATGAATTTCGTCATTTCATATTATATATATATATATATATACACCCGTTTTCAAAAAGGTTTTCATATAGAGAGATATATAGATAGATATATACTTTTGTTTTCTTGCACGTGCGCCCGTGTGCATTTACACTTGTTATTGTCCAACTTGTGAAAAAACTTGGTTAAACGATAAATTTTCTTTTCGTCAGGTTCTTTGTTCCAATTTGTCAATTAAAAAAATAATGCACGAACATTGTCTGCAATTCTCTTGATTTGCATTCTCTTGAAAATTAAAGAATGAGGAATTCGGTCACTTGTAGGTCATATAATTGTTGTCGTTACAGGGTAAGGAGAAAAACGATGTGACGGTGGATGTCCATATTGGACGGTGGATGTCCATATTGCATATGTGGGAAGGAACAACAATATTATAGCAGTTGATTAAAACGGGAGTTATACGGCGTCGCCGAATTGCTAGGCCAAATGCCATGGCATCTGTAGCAAGTGAGGAAGCATTTTTATTGATGGAGTGTATTAAAAAATGCGCTGTCCAGGAGCGTGCTTAAGAGAAACTGTAAACTAACTTGAAAGCATTTGTGGCCGAGAGTTTATTCTGTCTTCAATGAGACGTTGCCTTACAGGCCGTGATTTTACACGAAAAAAGGTGAGACATTAAGATATATGACCAGCTCATCATGGTTATGATAAAGTCTGCTTCTATGAACCTCGTCAACGTCTTAGTCCGTTTTAATCAACTGCTATAATATTGTTGCTCCTTCCCACATATCCAATATGGACATCCACCGTCACATATTCCTTCTCAGCGGTTTCGAAAAGACATTTTTTTCATTTCATCTGCGTTGTTTTAAAAATGAAAATCTTTGATGTTTTCCCCTTATTCTGTAACAACAACAATTATATGACCTACAAGTGACCGAATTCCTTATTCTTTAATTTTCAAGAGAATGCAAATCAAGAGAATTGCAGACAATGTTCATGCATTATTTTTTTAATTGGCAAACTGGAACAAAGAACCTGACGAAAAGAAACTTCACAGAAGAGAATCGTCTTCTAACAAAAAAAAAAACTTTATTCAGACCCAACGCGTTTCGGCGTCTGCCTTCATCAGGGGTCTTTACATTGGGTTCATTAATCCATTAATGATCTCTTATTGTGACGTAATAAAGAAGTGTTCGTTACTTGATTAGTTGCGACCGGTAATACTGTTCTAATAGATTAATTACATTCGTGTGGGCGTAGAGTGGAATGACCCCTATAACTTACGTTCTAAAACGTTATTTATGTACTGAATACTTTATAAAAGTGTATTCGACTCTGAGTTCTAGCCCATTCTCTTATTAAGACCGTTCGGTTGCAATGTGTTCAGCCGACTTTCCCAAAATATTTCTCTAGCTCGAAGTATTTCTTTTTTCCGTTCAATTGTCATGTTACTCCGTTTGATTTGTTCAATAACCGTAATTGTGACGTCTTTGCCAAAGTCATGAGATCTGCTGTTGTGAAGAAAGTGCTCTGATAGTTCGCAGCTGTTGACTCCTTTCTTACTATGGTTCCTGTGATTATTAAGGCGCAGGTTGAAAGCGGTCTCGCTCTTCCCTACATATTGTAATCTACAAATTCGACACTCAATTATATAAATCACAAAGGTTGATTGACAATTCACTGTATGGAATATGTCAAACACCTTGCCATCCCGCCGCGTGCCCGTAAAAGTAGAGGTCTTGTTTACAAGTACGCACCAACTACAGGGGCACCCAACGACAATTTTCGGAAAAATATCTGTTCGGAAGACGATTTCAGATCTAGAATTTTCGGAACATTTGTTGTAAAATTTCTTGCTTGCCTGCCTCTCCTAGGATTTTCCAACATGTAAAAAATGGTATAATTGCCTATTTTTAACGGATTTTTACCCTAAAAAGGTCACCTAGAATTTTCGGGAGCCTTTTTTCTGGCTGAAATTTTCGAAAAGTTAAGTTTTGATGCTTATAATTTTCGGATCACTAGACTTTCAGCTGAGAAATCCGAACAGATGAAAAATTTTTAGGGGATAAAAATATGCCTATATCTATCGTTGAAATACTAAAATTCGTTTAACAATTCTATGTTTAAGTGGTTTTGAACTACATTCTCGTTGGGTGCCCCTGCAACTACATTTCGGTTTATTGCAAGGACCACAGTGGCCCATTGTGGTGGTATGTTCTTCAGGGGCTCTGCTTGTTAATTTGGCTCTGACGAGTATGTCGCGTAGACTTTTTGACCGCCTATATGCGATGATTGGTCGTTCTCAAAATATGTGAGCCAGTCTTTCCTTTGATTGGAGGAAGTGGCAATTCCTGTTCGCCACTTCAGCAATATATGAGGTACGTGGATTGTATGTGGTTACCAAGGGTATGCGGTTGGTGGTGCGCCTCTCTCTCTCCCGCAAACTCTCGTCTTGTGTCAGTGAAAGAACTTTGCGCATTTCAGATAGCGGCCTATCTCTTTTATACCCACACGCTACGAAAAAATTGGAATATTCCAATATTCTTTGCTCTAGTAAGCGCGTTGATGAGCATATCCTCCTAAGTCTTAAGGCTTGGCTGTATGGTATACTTTGCTTTAAATGCGGTGGGTGCGCCGAAGTCCAATGTAGGTATGGGTGGGTATCCGTTGGTTTCTGAAAAATGTCTGTGCTGATGTTACGTTGTACATCTTTTATCACTTTTGTATCCAAGAAATTCACGGACTTGTAAGATATTTCATGGGTGAATGTAATGGATGGTACAACACGTTGAGACACTTTATAAAGGTAGTGAGAGAACTTTCGTCTCCTTTCCAGATGAGAAAAATGTCGTCGATGAACCTTACGCAGTCAATTATGTAGTGGGACCATTCCGTTCGGTATACAAATTTATCTTCAAACCAGCCCATATACACGTTCGCAAAATTAGGTGCAGCCCTAGTGCCCATTGCTGTACCCTTAACCTGGATGAAATTGTGGTTGTCAAATGTGAAATTGTTCAGTTTGAGGACTTTTCCGAGGAGGCAAGCAAGGTTTTTTTCCGGAAGGTTGGATCTGGCCAGTTTTTGCCAGTTCCTCCTCAATTGTAGCAAGTCCATCGACTGTGTCTATATTAGTGTATAAACTGGAAACGTCTAATGTCGCGAGAATACTGTTCTCAGGATCTCTACCCAAGTTTTTCAGTCGTATGATGAAATCTGTAGTATCTCTGATGTGAGAAGGTAGTGCATGTGCCAAGGGTCTTGGAAACTCATCCACATATGCAGATAGTTTCTCCGTATGGCTGTTAACGGAAGAGATAAGAGGTCGTCCCGGATTATTGGGTTTGTGCATTTTGGGGAGCATGTAAAAAATTAGTGTTCTTGAGTTGGCTGGTCTTAAAAGCTGGCCCGTATCCATATCTAAGTCACCATTATTTATCAAGTGGCTAATACATTGGTTAATCAATTGTTCGTGTTCTGAAGTCAGGTCTTCTTCTACTCTCTTGTAATACTCCTCATTGTTTAATTGCCGCATGGCTTTCGTAATATAATCCCCTGTGTTGAGAATTACTGTGGCTCCTCCCTTATCCGCCGGTTTTATTATTATATCCTTATTGTTTCTTAGTCTTCTTAGAGCTACCCGTTCTCTTTTGTTAAGATTGTCACGCTGAAATCGGTGGTTGTACGCTAACCTCTCCCTGATGTCCTGTCTCAATTTGACCACTTAAGAGTTCAGATAGGGTTCTCTCGATGGTCTATAATGCCCTTGGCGATCTCTTTTCTTTAACTTTTCGAGTACTGAATGGTGGTAACTCGAGTCTTGTTTTATTTCATCGATATTGTCAGGAGCGTGGTATTCCTTATGGTGGTGGGGTAGGGCAAAAATTTAAGCCCCCCTTAGCAAGTTAGTTTCTGACTGGGTTAGTTCTATTGCAGATAAGTTGACTATTCTTGTGTTAAGGATTTTTTCTTTTGTGAGATTGTTGTTTTGCTTTGTTCTTATCTGTCTCTCTTTACTGCGTTTTGCCTGTGTGTGTTTTCCTTTATTCGTAGTCCGTGTCCGTTCCAAAGTTCCAAAGTTGGTTTCATCTGTAAACCCGATGGTCTGTTTAGTTTCTGTACCTGTTTCTGAAAAACCGACCTCGGTCTGAAAAAGATCTGAGGTCCTCAGGTTGTTCCCTCCTATCTTCTTGTTGTCGGTTGCGTTCCTGTTGTTGACGTTGGCGATAGCCTTTCTCTTGTTCCTGTTGGCGGTTCCCTTGTCTTCTGTGATACTGGTTATTCCAGGATCGGCCTCGCCATCGGGGCTCCCGACTGTATTGATTGTATTTTGAAGGTCGATCATCCTCTGGCTCATTGTTTCCCACTTGGTAAGTTTGTAGTCCTCCACGCTGTGGTCTTCTTGTCTTGCTGGGGTTATTTCAGGGGTCTAATTTCGCTCTTATGTGTTTCTTAAGGACGTCCGCATATGTTCCTGTACCTGTCTGATTTCGTTAAAACGTGGCCACTAGGCACTAGGTTTTCGCCTGGGGCCGGGCGCAGCCCGGCTCCAGGCTAGTCCGGTGCCCAAAAATGTAGGGGGCTTGCCGTCTTGGTCGGTACAGCTGGATAGCCCACGGACTGCCCTAACAGTGGGTGGGTGGGTCAGGCCCTCGGGTCAAAACTAGTGGGTTAGGGAGGGGGCTGTTTTGACACAACCCCTTCAGTAAGCAACGGTGTTCAGTGCAGGCTTTGACTGGCGAGTACCTTGGTCTTAATTTGCCCTAGCCAGCTGAATCAGGCCTCTGCTGAGAATGACCATCATGATAATTGCAGAGCTCAGTGGCAGGTGCAGACAGTCACCCATTGTCCTGGGTGGGGAGGGTCATAGTCTTGGTACCAAGGACACACTTAGCATAGGACCCTTCCCAATGGCTTGAGAAAGAGAGGGGAAAAACCCGAAAAGAAACCACCTTACATGATACACACACACCTCATTGCCAAGGTCAAATTAGTCAACCTAATTTGACCTAATCCGGTTTTATTTTTCAAATCAACTTCCCTTAAATGGTCACCATATAGGGTTGATTGTTTCTATCAAACATATTTTAATTAAACTGGTTTAAGATCTTGTACCCTTTGCCACTACAGTAAGGCTGTAGACAGTATCTGGAAGGGGAAATAACGGACAAACATTTCACTTACCCATATTTTTCTTGGACCTCAGGTCTGAGACTGGTTGGGGGATCTGGAAGCTGGGAAGGAAGAGTTGAAGTGCTTTATAATAACATGTGGGGAACAGTTTGTGATGACTCCTGGGATTTACATGACGCGCATGTTGTTTGCCGCCAGCTTGGATTTACTCGTGCGTTAAGTGCTCCAGGGTCGTCCCGATTCGGCGCCGGAAGCGGTCCAATTAGGCTGGACAATGTCGCATGCTCGGGAAATGAACGTTCTATAACCTATTGTCAGCACAACAGATGGGGTAACCATGACTGCAGTCACAGTGAAGATGCATCGGTTACATGCTCTAGAGGTGCGTTGTACGTGACAATAATGAAGAGTCATATTACTGTATGTGCATTTCGCTTAGTAAAGAACCGATAAGGTTTCAGAGTATTCTCAGGTAAATGCTTTAGAAAACTGATAAGGTAATCAATATGGTGGAAGATACATAAGTAATAGAGTTAAATAAAAAGATCTAGTGCGTTCTTATGATTGTGTGTGTCTGTATTTTTGTTTGCGTATAGTATATAGCCAGCTACCGCATGAACCTCGAAGTCGTGATTAATTAACAAAACAAGTAACTTCTCTATACCAACAGCACGATCAACGTCCCTGCCATGGAAAACATGCAACTTTGACTATGGCTTGTGTAATGGATGGAGTCAGTCTCGCTCAGACAAATTTGACTGGAAACGTCAAAGAGGAAGCACCTCATCTTCAAATACGGGGCCTTCATCAGATCACACTACTGGAAATGGTACATGTAATTACAATGGAAATAATTTCACAAGGGGGCACTGTCTTCTGATGTAACATATCATGGAGATGTAAAACAAAATGTGATTATGAATTAGACAATACCGTAACTTTCCGCATATAAGTACCCCCAACTATAAGCCCCACCCACCCCCAGTTATAGTCCAATCTACCCGTAATCAAAAAATACATTTCCTATCATATACTCCGTCCCTTCCCTCCCTCCAACCCTGATACAATCCTACCTTTTAATGCATTTAAATGACTTCGATTTGATTGAAGCTTAAATAAAAAATAGATTTTGATCAGCACTGTTATAGCTTGTCCCGAAGCATTTGTTTTCTATTCTGGTTAGAGGCCCCTTCCGTTCACAAGCCTTCCTAATGACAAAGATGGATTAGTCCAGAGCTTATAAGCGTCAGTTTCAGGTGTTTGTCAATCGTCATTTTTGTTTGTTTCTTCGTCTTGTTTTTCTTTCTTTTTTTTTTCATGGTTTTTAATTCAAGTTGATTTTGCTCTTTTATACAGAATATTCCAGGTATTAGAAACAAATGTCAACTGATTAACTTGAAAGTATCACTGGCAGTATTTTCATGCCTAGTTTGCTTATTTATGCATGCAGCAATAACACTGAGAATTACAGTATTTACATTATATTTATGTACTGAGTCCTTGAAAAACCCCACACTCATTTCCTCAGAAGGTTTTTCTTTTTAAATACCGATAATCAATCCTCGCCCATTTTGGAAAAGGTGGAGGGGGAGGAGGAGGGTGCTTTTTTTTACTGTAAACGCAGTGTTGGTAGCAAGGAAACTAGGAGGTGACCAAGTGCTTATTAATAACGTCTTTTTTTCCCTCCAAAAGGATCTCTTCGGTTTAGAAAGGGAATTGCTTAATAACGGTTTACATTATCATATTTTCACAGGAGCCCATCAAATGGAGCCTCCATCTCCATTAAATTCTTGAGTCAACCCTTTCCCGAGTAGATTTATAAATAGAACGGCTTGTTTCCCGCGATAAGTGTAATATTTCCGTGAGTCTCGTATGTCACCGTCAAAAAAATAAAGTTGGACGAAGTGGAACTCAGAAGCCCGTAAAGCCCGCCAGTTAAGCACCGCGTCCAAAAGCGATGACATAAATAGAAACCTCCTGGGTAGCATATACCTGATGGTTAAAGTAATCTAATAATGTCACAAAATAATTCTAATTTTTAAACCTCTTGGGTAGGATATACCTGATGGTTACAGTAATCTAATAATGTCACAAAATAATTCTAACTTTGAAACCTCCTGGGTAGGATATACCTGATGGTTACAGTAATCTAATAATGTCACAAAATAATTATAACATTGAAACCTCCTGGGTAGCATATACCCGATGGTTACAGTAATCTAATAATGTCACAAAATAATTCCATGGTAACTTTGAAACCTCCTGGGTAGCATATACCTGTGGTTACAGTAATCTAATAATGTCACAAAATAATTCTAACTTTGAAACCTTCTGGGTAGCATATACCTGATGGTTAAAGTAATCTAATAATGTCACAAAATAATTCTAACTTTGAAACCTCCTGGGTAGGATATACCTGATGGTTACAGTAATCTAATAATGTCACAAAATAATTATAACATTGTAACCTCCTGGGTAGCATATACCTGATGGTTACAGTAATCTAATAATGTCACAAAATAATTCCATGGTAACTTTGAAACCTCCTGGGTAGCATATACCTGTGGTTACAGTAATCTAATAATGTCACTATATAATTCTAACTTTGAAACCTCCTGGGTAGCATATACCTGATCGTTACGATAACCTAATAATGTCCAGGAGTGGATTCAGGGGAAGAGCCCGGGAGGGCCACCACCTCCCCTCCCCTTGTTTTCAGACCAAGCGGAGGCCCGGATGGCCGAGAAAATTTTTTTGGAGATCGGGCCCCTCCAGCTATCTTATGTTCTGGACGACAGGGCCCTCCCCTTATCGCAAGGTATGGATCCGTCAGTGATGTTCAATATAATTCTAACTTCTCCTGGATGTCAATGTCCATTGCATTTATGATTATTGTTGTTAAACGTTTGTCAAGTGAGTTTTTTAGTTACTTATGTAGCTGACGTGGTTTGCATTTGAGCATATTTAATGTCGACCGTGAACGACAGTGAATGGTAATACTTTTGGAGATTGTTGCTTTCCTATTGTCTTTCTATCCAATCACATTACAGGTTTTGCCCTCTTGTTACAAACAATCAACTATTTATCACACATTAACTGAATGAATGCCTTTGTTTTGTCATTAGCATTTTTTCTTCCTTTGATCTTTGGAGTCTATCAGCAATGGAGTCTGTCAGTAATAAAAAGCGAAAACGTTCGCTCGAGCAAAAGTTAAACAGCGAGCGAAATGATTATTACAAGAAGCTAAGAAAAGAGCAAAAGAAGAAGAGGAAAAAGCGAAGGAATGGTTCAGAAAAACAACCAGAAGCACCAGCAATCAAAAGAAACACGGAAAGACAGAAAGAAACACAGCTACCAGAGGCAGCAAGGAACGAACCAAAAAAGGTCGAATTAGCAGAGCGATCAAAGACTGTCACAGTAACAAACGAGGCAAGGAAGGACGAACACGGGACGAAAAAACGGATTTACTGCACTTTTGACACGAGTCAAAAGTTAAGTCAAATATGGTATTAGCTTTGACTTCACCTTTGACGCGCGTCAAAGATGTCGCCAAATATATAAGCTCTTTGCTTACTCCTTTGACCTCGGTAAAGGTGTAGTCAAATTGTTAACAACTTTGACTTCTCCTTTGATGCGCGTCAAAGATGAAGTCAAATGAATCAATGCTTTGCTATTCCTTTAACCCTTATCAAAGTCGTTGTCAAATATGCTGGTAACTTTGACTTTACCTTTGACGCACGTCAAAGATGAAGTCAAAAGTGTAGTTAGCTGTGACCACACCTTTGATACTAGTAAAAAATGAAGTCAAATACGAGCGCTACACTTTTACAACACTCTTGAATGGTGCTGAAAGTGAGAGCAAATATGCAATGAATTACGTCTACAAACACTTATGTCGAAACTGATATTGAGAAAGGAAATTAAAAAGCTGTATTTGAATACTGTTTTAAAGATATTTATACGACAATACCGAACACGGGCGGGTAATCATTGTAATTGCTGTTTTATAATTATTTTTGAAAATGTTCTAGAATATGTACTTTTTCGAAGTGATTTTTTTTTTTGTCTTATCTTGAGTGGATCATTTTCTCCTTGATCGATCAAAATACCATGTAATGACAGCGACGCAAGACAATGACTCAACAATTGGACGATGGAAGACTGAACCCAAGCAAGACACCCTGTTTTTGGCGCGAAATTGTCGCGGCTGCAAACTCTCTCCGCCCGCGCAAACAAACAAACTACGCAGATCTGAAGAAAACAAAAACTGCTTTTTTGTACGAAGCAGTTCAGCTTTTGTTGACAAATATTTTCACCCTTATCTTTGATAGAGTTTAGACCACAAACTTGTTCAAAAGGTACGTGTCATTCTTTTCTATGTGTTCATGCAATAGTTGTTCTTCAAACTTCATCGTTGTTTTACTGTGTTAAGCTTACGGAAACCAACTCCGAACAGGCGTGTATGTCGTGCTTGGGAGCTTTTCTGATTGTTAAATCTGGTTCAGTAAACTATCAAAATTTTCTATATTACAGTAGAGTTTATATTAGATCAAGCCCTTTTTTCTAATAGGGTTAGTGCATTTCTGCAAAAGTAATAGCTGGCTTATATTTCACTATGCAATTCAAGTAAAAACTCCATGCGAGAACCTACTAACATCAAGATTATAAACCAACTGGTTTTTCTAACAGTTATACTTAACTACGAAAACTACTTCAGGGTAATGAAATAATATAAGACTTACATATATATTTTTTCATGGACAGTGTACTTCAATAAAAAAATCTGTACCGGACTTTGATGGGCATATTACTGAAGAAAGTACATAAGCTTATTTGAACAGGATTCAGTGTAGTTTATCAAACAAAGAAGTGTGGTTATTTGAAGACTTCGGATGTTTTACAGACGTGAGTATCTCTTCCTATTGATTTTTCTGGGTTCTATACGTAATGGGGCTCAGGCTACATAATTTTTAAAATTTTCCATTGATTTTTGTGCCACCACAGTGGCAGCTAGGTATGTTTCAACACTTAATAATAATCATTCAAACATATCGAGCTGTCCCTTCTTTATTGTGACTGGACAATAACTTTAAAAATAGCCTGCGTAGCAAGCTTTTTCGCTCGAGTTTTCTGCAAGAGACTAAGTTTTTAGAGGGCAAAAAAAGAGGAAGGAGGGGCCGGGTGGGGCTAACTCGCGCAATAACTCTATTGGAAACGCTTGTTATGCAGGCTAGGTATAATATAAGTGCTTCTTTAGTTTAATTTTAAGCTTTGGGCATGGAAGGAAATTTTCATTGAATTTTCCTGGACTTAATTAAGTGATAATAAGGCTCGATTCAAACGTCAAATTTCACAAATGACGAACTTAATGACAATGCATGTACACGAAATGTAATGTTCCCATTCAAAAGCATTAGGTTCGCTACACATTTTTAACCGGGTCTTTAAGTTTTGATAAAGGTAAAGAGAAAGGGGAATTTTCTGCAGGAAAGGAGCGATAGTAAAAAGGGAGTGGGGCCGAAAAATTTATTTGAAACACTACGACTGAATTTTTTATCTCAAATTTGCTATATTCTTTAACAATTATTTCACAGATAAAAGAAACAAGGCAAAATGATAAGTCTCCAGTGGAACGAAACACACAACAGAGGAAGATTGAAGTTAGATACATGGCGTTTGTCTTTCACTTACATCAAGAATCAAAAGCACTCTAGAATGAAAATCTTCGCAAAGATAACATCAAGACAGATGGGCTCCTGATCAAGAACATTTCTTACTTACCATGATTTTTGCACTGGCTTGCGTGAAAGAAGTGTTTTAAACTATTTTGCAGGTTGCCGTCCGTGACAACAGCATGTATCTGGAACATTTATAGTGCTTCAAAAATTTGCGGCAGTCATTATGATTGTCCATTGACAGACTGCAATGAGTACTTTAGACAATAAATCGTGAAAAGGTTTTAAAAAATCATTTTTATGTGTTTAAGTTTTAATCGGAATTATTCAGCTTTCTAATCATCTAATGAGGTTTTAGGACAATAAAGTATGAGATTAAGAACTCAGTCTCTTACCTGTGCACCTTTTTAAACGGTATCCAGGTCGCAATTGAATTTGATTGAAATCTCAAGTTGGATTCTAGCCTGTAAATCAAGCGCTTATGACTAGCGAGGCAATAACGCGGCATTCGCGCGAAGCGCGAGGCGAACGCGGAATTCACGCGAAGCGCGAGACGAGCGAGAGGCGCGAGACGAGCGAGAGGCGCGATGCGAGGGGAGGAAAAAAACCAAACATATTTGGCAACACCTTTATTAAGCCTTTGACTTAAATCTCAGACGCATTTGACGACAACTTTGCCACACATTTGACCTGAGGCTCAGACACATTTGACGACACTTTTCACAAGCCTTTGACTTTAATCACAGACATAACTTTACCGCGCTTTTGTCACACCTTTGGCCTGAATCTCAGACATATTTGACGACGCCTTTGATAGTGGTACAAATGCTAATGAAATATACCTTTGACGCGCGTCAAAGGTAGGGGTTAAAGGCGTGACAAAAACGGCCTTTATCGCCTGAAGACTCGCCTTTGACCGCGAGCAAAGGTAAACATTTGTCGCGCGTCAAAGTTGTACAAAGGTGTGCAAAGGTGGCCTTTATCGCCCGTTTGACTTCACCTTTGACGTTCAGTAAATCCGTTTTTTCGTCCCGTGGAACTAGCAGAACGACCAGAGACAGCAAGCAAGGAAGTGAAGAAGAATGAAGCAGTAAACTACTGGCCTCGTCAGTTAATTGTAAGAAAAGATGAGTCTTCGAGGGGGAAATTGATATTATCGGCGGCCTTGAAAGTTAACACAGAAACGAACAAGACGAGGACAGAAACAACTAAGAAGAGACGTCTAGCTCAAGCTCCACGAAGCGAGAAAAAGTTCCTAAGCGATACTGATGTGACGGAGTTGACAAATGTGAAACGTGTCGCTGGGGCAAAGCCACTCGGGAGTGGAACGTTTGGAACTTGTTATCCAGGCACCTTTCGTCAATATCGAGTAGTTATCAAAGAATATAAGGCTAGAACCCACATGAACGGGGAACACGACAGTTTGGAGCGGTTAAGGCGAGCAGCAAGACACGAAGCGCGTGTTATAAAACAACTAGGCGACCACCCAGGGATTCCTTGGCTGTTCGGTGTATGCACCGCAAAAATGCCTGTCAGCATTGTCATGAAGTTTCACAACGATGGCGAAGAAAGTGTGACAATCTACAAAGCGGCAAAAGACAACAAAGTGGCAGAAGCAAAGAAATGGAACGGCATATTTTTGGAAACTTCGGAAGCTTTGGAACATATTCATAATTGTGGGTATGCCCACAACGATCTAAAGAGTAACAACGTGGTATTAGAAAAGAGGAAGGACCAGCAGCTGCACCCTGTTATAATAGATTATGGTAACAGTGTGCTGTTAAAGAAGGCAAAATCTCCCGTTGCCAAACCGGTACATCAAAGGAAAGCTTACCAGAACTCTTATATTGCCCCTGAACTATTAGACGGAACAGGAAAGCAGTCTGTTGAGAGCGATATTTACGCGTTAGCTTTTTTGATCAAAGGTGTTTACATTATTCTTGGAAATATTGGAAATATTGATGCTAACGTAAAATGTGCTTTGGCAAAGTCACCTAAAAGTAGACCGCCGATCTCAGTTTTAAAAGTGGCCTTTAGCGTTGACAATTAAATCTTCCTTTACTATGTAATTGTAAGCCTTTAAGATTTTTTTAAACTACGATAGGTTAGGTAAGTTTATGTGATAAGATTTCGGCGAATCGCTTAATTCATTCATAGTGGTAGTCACTGTTAAGTTGGACGTACGTAACCAATTATGACAAAGGAGAGATTAAGCATCACCTTTACGGTAAACGGCAACCGTCAAATTGTACCACTTGACCAAGTTTTCCCTTTACTTGTTGTCTACTGTTGATTATCTATACAGATATATAAATTAGTAGTTTTACGCTAGTTTTATATATGCAAAATATTATTATTTTGGACAGTTTTTATTTGTCATTTCTTCAAGAGATTGTCAGCTTGAATCTGCCCTTGGTGGTAAATGCATTTCTAAGTTTCTCTAATGTTTTCTCGTCCCTTGGTCTTGGGTTGCGAGTCAAACTGATATTTCTAACAGGTGAAAACGAATGTCTGTATACTTTTTCACACGATAATCCGAATGACGTTTTCTCTTTTGTCACTGTACGAGAGAACACCTGTTTGGCTGATACTATTTAACTTCAATTCAGGTTCCCTCTTCTCTCATAGTGAATATTATTCTGAGTGTCATACTGTGAAGATAAATTACGGGGGGAAAATTTGTAATTTAGCTGCTTTGTGGTTTACGTACCCAAATGCTCATCGAATGGTAAATTTGTTGTTGTTGTTGTTGTTACTGGTTTTGAGGCGTATGTTTGTAATTTATAAAATAGTTTTTAAATACCACTTGCACCTTTTGTTCTGCAAATTTCAATTGTAATTACAAAACACAATTTTTAACAGGCGGTATGCCTTACAACTTTAACTGATTATTATTCGAAAACGTACATTTTCCTGTTTCCTGATTTCTATATTTTATGAAAAATGTATACATATACATGTCTTTAAGTGCATATGAAAGGACAAGTTTTGTGGAAGGACTGTGAAGTTCATTTAAGAAGCTTTAAGAGGATTTAGTTTTGTGTCTTAAAGAATGACAAATATTTACATGTATTTAATTGCGATCATTACAGCTTATTAAAGCTTACAATATATTTAATGAACCTTTACAGCGTCAACTTAAATGAATGTTAGTCTTTAGATAGGTAAATTGTATTTAAGGCAACCTAAATATTCTTAAAGGCATCTTAATGGTACATATCTACTTTAAGGAATTTAACGATCTTTAAGTGTAAACTTAAATGCATTCATTACATTTAAGTGACTTTTATTTTTTTCTTAAAGATAAGTAAATCTGTCATTTCGTCCTGTGGGAATGCTTTAGCTCTTGCAGTCTTCCTTTACAACTGACTTGTATTACCATGACCGTTGCCTGAGGATAAAACTGGTACTTGAAAAGTTGAGCAGAAGAGAACTACAATATTGGACAAAACTGTCGAGAAAATTGCCTTCTTGGGGGTCATTTTTTCTAAACTTCGTAGCCGACCGATTCTTCCCTCCCCCTCTCCCCCTGGAAGCAATGTTGTTGTGTCTTCAAAAGAAAGCCGGGTCCCTATGCATTTGTAGGAAGCAACTTTGAACTGGGGGAGGGGGGTTTCTTTACGCAAAGCCATTGTTTTGGGAATAGTTTTGTTGCGTTAGGTAGTGCGCATTAATGAAAACATTTTCTCAAGTAGTTTTGTCCAGGATTGTATCTGTTGCTCGACTGTGAGCTAACTCAAAAGTAAATTGCTAACGAAGGAATTTGTGACATCGCGCTCCAGTCCAAAGACCCACTTATCTCAAGAAAAACAAACTGGATTGTATCTGCGCCAAAAGAATTATGACTGACTAACAGGACAATTCTAAGCAGTTAATGTAGAAGTTTAAACTTAATTCTTTCCTTCGAATTCGCATCTGTAGATCACTTTTCGCGAGAAAACAATGTTAAGTATCTGGGCCCGGCGTTACAAAACATAGCAGGGGATCATCACACTAGAGGGACGAAACATCCTCAAGAACTACAAGTATTCATTCAGATAAACGCATTTCGGAAAAAAAAAATGAAAAACTAGAGATTTGATTAATATTGAGTCATTTAACCGAAAAAAGGACCTTAACGCTTAAAAAAAAATGGCTAAAGATAACGAATCCTGTTAGAACTACAAACTGCAAGAAATACTTCATCATCATGCATGAAACAGACCAGCGTCATGGCCTCTTAATGTGAGACAAGCAGCCAAAATTAAGATTAACATAGTCAGAATTTAAAACTCTCCACAGTAAAATCTACCCGCTAGAAAGAAAAGGGAGAAAATTTCTGAGGGATGAAAACGCTAAAGTCATGTTTCACTAGCTTATGATTGTGTTTGGCCTGTCAACACCGAATTTCCGGCTGTTTGATGAAGTACAAAAAATTATTATAGCATTGTCTGTCATTTCGTCATTGGGATTGGCTCTTCCCACTGTGGGCGCGCGACGTCTCCTCTGGGAACCGTTCTAATTATAAATCTACTCGGGAAAGGGTTGACTCCGAGGGCTTGTATGGGAGATGGACGCTCCATTTGATGGGTATTCATTATTATTATTATGCTCTTGCAGGATACTACATGTATATAGAGGCGTCACCTGTGCGACAAGGTGAAAACGCAAAACTTCAAGTTTCAGTTTCTGGAAATGGCGCAGCAGCTTGCCTGGTTTTCTTTTATCACATGTATGGTGATGCCATAGGGACTCTTAATGTTTATAGCGGAAATGAGTTGGTTTTCATTGTATCTGGGAACCAGGGAAACTATTGGATACGAGCAAGGAAAACAATTCATTTGCGACACGATGTAAGTTTCTGAAGTTTAATGAACTTCAGTTCTCAAGGAAACGCGACTGTTGGATTAGTCTTGGTTAAATTTCAGACGACTAAAATCTGTACACTACATATATCTTCAGAGATCGGTTGAAAAGTCTAAGTGCATAAAAGGATCTATCATAAATGGACTTGCCAATCCCTCTTCCGTTTATTTATTTATTTATTTTTTTTTTAAGATCCTCTTCGGTTTCTTCGCACAAAAATTGAAATTATATGAGAAAGATGATTTTTCAGTCGGTGACACAGGCGGCTTGGAGAAAAAATATTCGAGTTCTCCTAATAGGAGTCGAACCATGTAATGACCTTGTGGTAACCACTCCAGATACTTTACCACTTATCTACAAAAGAGTCGTGGGAGCTACCCTGCATAATGCTGGGACTAAAAGCCGATATGTGCTTATGCGCCATGACAGAGACTGATCTAAATTCACCATTCGGCATGTGAATGTTACCTTTTTCCCTCTCTATTACCTCTCTTTCATAATCACGGCTTTCTTTTCTTTTCTTTTTTTTCACTTTGAATTCAGTTTCCACTTGCAGCAAACCAATTTAATTTCCTTTTAGAGTGCTTGAATAATTCCCAATGCCTTTTACTCTATTTATAGGTATCCTTTGAAGGTATTGTGGGGTCGTCTTATACGGGAGATATCGCTATCGATGATGTGACAATTTTCAGTGGAAGCTGTTATAGTCCTACTGTGTTGCTGACGAATCAAAGCATTGGAGGTACTTTAATGCCCTTGTTTATTAGACTTATATAAATATTGGGGGTCGGTTATTTCAACCAGGTCTAACTAAGACCGTTGTTTAGGAAATCTTTGGACCTTCAGATCTCTTCCTTTGTGGGGTATTTTGAGACATTCATATCTTTTCTACGCCATATGTTTTCATGAAACTGTTCACCATAAAAGATGTATACATAAAAACGTTGGCCAAACTGAAAATGGCTTAGAACTGGGTTTCATTAAACACTGGCTAGACTCCGTTTAAATAATTAGCCCTAAGTACTTTAAAGTACCAAGTCTTGGTACTTACTTCGTTTAACGGGGCCATTTCACAAGGAGAGCATGCGTGCTAAGATTATGTAAATTACTTACATCAGTCAAAATTCTATTGTTTTCAACGCGTGAATTTCTGTGTCACGTACAGAGCACCGAAACTTATGCATCAGTCAATTCCAGCTGCGCCCAGCTCCCCTCCCCACCCCCCTCCAGCCCCCGGGCTACTGCGGGGCATTTGCCCGCCTTTTTAGTGTAGGGGGGGGGGGGGCATTTGCCAACCCCGGGGCTATTTGCGAGCTTTTGACACGCACGCAGTTTCCTATCAGAATATAACTACACAGAGGATATCACTGGAAAATTAGCAGATCATGTAGCTCATCTGTCAAGGACAGGGGGTTGCAAAGGCATGTTCTCGATATTATGCATGCAATTCTTCATTGCTTATCAAGCCAGAATTACATAGCGAAACTCAGGAGCTATCGACGTGAATCAACGTTTTTTGGTAAGTGAATCAAATTTCTGTTGATATTATTTGAAGAAAATCCTTTCATATTTATCAGTGATTTATAACCTATTCATAACATATAACTTTACAGCGCCCTGGTGATCTTAATGTCAATAATTTTATATCAATACTAAAACCATAAATTGGTGCATGTCGTGGCGGCGTGAAGTCTTAATTAGGATATCCTAGCGCTATTACAAAGGAACTGGAAGACGTTACATGAAACAAAAAATCGCACATTAAAATGTTTAAAACGGCATTATTGTTGGTTTTCACGTGACCTCACTAAAATTCAAACTACAAAGCTATCGATCCTACTGAGATTTTACTTTCTTGATGTTTTAGAGCAGCTGAAAACTAATTTTCGTACAAATTTTCACTTCAAAAGGGTTCTTGGTTCTTGGTTTGTTGGTGATAGAGTACGTCTGAGTTTTTAAGCTTTTGCGTGACGTGGCCTTTACATGACGGCCGAGAGAGTATCATGTAGGTTAAAAAAGTAACGTATTTCGGGGAATTTTGCTATCTTAACAGTTCATGTATTAGAAAAAGTATTACTTTAATGTTTATGAGTTCCTCGAGGAATAAATTCACGCTTTTCTACCAAAAGTCGGTAACAGATGTTTTTGTTGGTTTCCGTCCGCCATGATTAGTGGTTATACGGAATATTCTTCTGACCTGAATCTTGGCGAGGGTCTTTGTATATTTATCTCCTTGTATTTCTCAGATTGTGGACTTTATCTATTGAACGGTCTTGATTTTTTTTTTTTTTTTTTTTTTATCAATTTTGAATGGCGTGACACTGGAAAAACCAACAATTCGACTGTGCAGTCAATGAAAAATAAGGAACTTAAGATGGAGACGTTTTCGGCGCGACGGCAACTTCAACCGGACGGGACGTCATGATTTGTGCAATATTGCGCATGCTCTTGCTCACCACATTACCGTCGTGCTCCCGTCGGCGACGTGAAACTGGTCTGTTTGGCGTTGTGGCGAGAACGTGAGTATTTAACTTTCATTTCAATCAGGTTTGTTGCGTTTAGTAACCAGAATTTTGCAGATTATCGTTCTTAAGTTGTCCTTGTTTTCTTTGAGTCACATTAATTTCAAGCTCGATTTCCAAGCTCTGTTATCTAAACTTACATCTTTATAATGTTTCTAAGTTTCATGTCACAGGGTCAAGATCCAATCTGATCCAATATGGCAAACAGCAAACCGTAAGTGAGCGTAATTTACATGGACAAAATTGTTCTACGAGCCAAATGAAAGTATCCAGACAAAACGTATGTACTCCGATATTTTAATTGTGTGTTTTTATTTCACTTTTTTCGTTAGAGTATCGTATAAATACAACGTATTGAAAATTGTTAGGAATAGTAGGTAATACCACGTACTAACGTGAGAATACTGAAATAAAGTTGTTGTTGTTGTTATTGTTATTGCATGCAAGCAAAGAAGGATTAATTTTTTTAATTATTTATGTGAAGCCATATTTCCTCTTCGGGAGTCTTCCAAGGCGCCGTCCTCCTGAATTCACCGTGATCTTACTGTTCGAATTTTGGAGGGAAGCGACGGCTGTCTCTGTTCCAGGCTTGCTCCGCCAGTCCGGTCGCCGTCGCCCGGAAGTTCCCTAATGTTGCAGTGTTGACGGAGGACCGGGCATTTGCCCTCTTTTTTCGTCCCACCCCGGGGCATTTGACAGTTCAGCAGTCCCCACCCCCGGGAATTTGCCATCCAAGGCAAAAAAAAATGCTAATGCCCGGGGGTAGCCCGGGGGATGGGGATTCTGGGCGCAGATGGAACTGACTGATGCATCACAGCGACGTCAACAAGCGCATTGGGTTTGGATAAGGCCTATTTTGATCGAATTTATGGAGCGTTTCTTTTCTCGTTATTCTAGATCAGGTTTCCCTTTTCGTCGTCAAGAGTATAAGTGTTGAGATAATTCTACTTGCAGTTTTGAATAAAAAGTCCCATGCTATTCACAAAAAAAAACGCGAGCTGCGAACTGCGAGCAAACAAAAAATTCAAGAACAACATATTTTCGTAGTCAACATAACAAATCAAAGTTTTATTGTATAAAAGATCTACAAGACTCAAGAACGTACAAGATAAAGATCAAGACTGTTTCAAATCAATACAATTAGACTTTCTGTCCCTACTTATTTTTAAAACTTATACAATTATGCTGAGAGAACAAAAGCGACGCTGCTCGGATGTGTTGGTTTTGATCTTCGGGCACACATTGATCGCAGGAAATTCTTCGATTTTGGCGAATCACTGCGACGTCGAGAAAAAACAGAACCAAGAGTGGAGGCTTTTACGGTAATCGGCTAAAATTTCCGCTCTTTTAGGCTATCGTTTTTCTCAGTTAAGGTTAACAAAAAAATTAACTTCTTTTGTTTCAGGGGGTTAAATATTATTATTATTATTCATTCAAAATATTTCCCCGATTCTGATTGGCTAAAGGCACACGTTTAATTCAACATAACCAGTTACTAATGACCAAATTTGGAAGAATTTTGTGTTTAGCTAGGAAATGACGTCAAAAATGCAGCGTTTTTGCAAGTTAATGCGCCGTTAACCGAGAAGACCTGGGGACCAGGTTGAGTTGTTTTGGTTGTGAAACAAAAATGGCGGACATTTCACTCGTTTCAAGAGTAAGAACTAGGCGAAATAATAGCTAAAAACGTGGCAAGAACAGCAAGAAGACAACTCGAAGGGCGACGTCTGCTATTTGGAGAATATTTGCGGAGCTGAACAACCCTAAACGTGTACTATCGAAGATGAACTTAACATCGGTGGATCGATGGAGGTAAGCATGTTTTAGCTATTTTTTTAAGCTAGGAATTATTTTGAATGAATAATAAAACCATTATTGAATTCGGCTTTCGCATCATATGAAGAATTATGGAGATCTCGGAGGGTGTTATCCTCCATTCGTGTGAGACGGGTTATCCGTTTGATAATTCGCGTCAGATAGGTAATACGACTTAATTTAAAAATGGAGTAGTTTTAATTTTGAATGAACAATCCGTCTGACTTTATCCGCCAATTTTGACGGACAGTTTGAAGATAGATTATCCGTTACAGATAGCCTGTGTACAGCCGCCCCCTCCCCTCAGAAAAGAAAAACAAAAAAACGGAAAAGGGGTGTCTGTGGGTGAGGGGGTGACTGTACACAGGCTAGTCTCAGACGGATGATCCATTTTCTTGCTCTAGTGTGAAAACGGCCAACAACAAAATTCCCGTGTCCAGTGTTTTTAATGATACAGAAAGGACTGTACAGAACGACTGTCTGCCGTGGCTAGTCCTTAGGCCTCATTATTCCGCGCGGCTAATATAATGCATTCCGGGTCACGTGGTCCGAGCGAGGTTTTTTTTCCTCAGGTATGCCACCGAAATGCCTAGACCGAGATTGTGTGGGAAGACGCCGTACAGGGACTAAGCATGGCAATATCTACCGTAGCGTCAGAGAAAAACAGGGAATTGTTGTTTATCAGCAACGTATTGTACAAACAGTGGCATCTCTGCGTGTTGTTTCACTAGTATTTCGAGGGCACGACCTCCTTAAAATCACAAAAATTAATCCCCAGCAAGAAGCCAGATTTTCCCTATGGAAAAAGCTTGGTTCTTTGAGTGGGCGGCGGAAATGGAGCCTAGGTCTGGGTGAACACCTAAAAGGAGCTTGGCCTAACGTTCGTACGGAGTCAAAGTAGCCGGGAAATAAAAAAAACGCAACCATAAGTGAATTTTATCACCTTCCTCAAAATTAACAAATCAAGGGAACAATTTCTTTTAAGGTTAACTCTCTTTTATGCTATTTACGGCTAACGGTTAATTTTTTCAATTTTTACACCTATCGGTTAACCCCATTGAGACCCCCAACCAAGTACCATAGGTTTACTATACTCCATTCTAAACAGTCCGTGAATAACGAGGGAAAGTAAACTCTGTTATTTTCAAAAAATCCGAGAAAATATGCTCAAACACAGACGGTTCAGAGACGCGGCATTCAAAGGATCTACGTGATGCCTCTTCTACGTCCGTTTAGAACAAGTTGGACGAGCAAACGGTCGTGTTTATCCTTGCAGCGAATCAAGATAAATACAAGAAGGAATCTAGCCAAATTTTATAACTTTTGCTTCGCCAAAAGTTGAGTTTAGTCACGAAACTCATGGCCATGCTGTTGTAACAGTTTATA